AAGCCAACAACCATCAGCCCCCCTGGGCCCTGGTTGGGGAACTTCCCTGTGTTGGTAGCTGCTGGTTGAGGACCCCAGGGGCGGTACTAAGGTCTTTGTTGAGGACCGATGAGCACCCAACCAGCCGACTCAGGGGGGCCAACTGGGGGCGACAGTACCGGTTTGCGCCTGGCGCCGCGCTCCTTCGCAGATCTTTCTACCTTTGGCGCCGCGCCCTCCATTGCAGAGCAATCCTCTGCCCTTTTTTTTTTTTTTTCCCCCCGACGCGGCCTCCATTGCAGAGCCATCCTCTGCGGGTCCTTCTACCGCTGGCGCCGCCCCACTCCATTGCAGAGCCATCCTCTGCGGGTCCTTCTGCTATTGCAGAGCCATCCTCTGCGGGTCCTTCTGCCATTGCAGAGCCATCCTCTGCGGTTCTTCTTTTTGTTTGGCTGACGCGGCCTGCGTTGCAGAGCCATCCTCTGCGGTTTCTTTTTTTTACGTTTGGCGCCCCCGCAGAGCTATCCTCTGCGGGTCCTTCTGCTATTGCAGAGCCATCCTCTGCGGGTCCTTCTGCCATTGCAGAGCCATCCTCTGCGTTTTTTTTTGCTGACTCTCAGCGGATTTGTTTTGCCGACGCGGCCTCCATTGCAGAGCCATCCTCTGCGGGTCCTTCGACCGCTGGCGCCGCCACACTCCATTGCAGAGCCATCCTCTGCGGGTCCTTCTGCCAATGCAGAGCCATCCTCTGCGGGTTTTTTTTGCTGACTCTCAGCGGTTTTTTTTTGCCGACGCGGCCTCCATTGCAGGGCCATCCTCTGCGGGTCCTTCTACCGCTGGCGCCGCCCCACTCCATTGCAGAGCCATCCTCTGCGGGTCCTTCTGCCATTGCAGAGCCATCCTCTGCGGTTTTTTTTTTTGCTGACTCTCAGCGGATTTTTTTTTGCCTCCATTGCGCCATCCTCTGCGGGCGCTGGCGCCGCCCCACCATTGCAGAGCCATCCTCTGCGGGTCCTTCATTGCAGAGCCACTTCTGCCATTGCAGAGCTGCGGTTTTTTTTTTTGCTGACTCTCAGCGGATTTTTTTTTTGCCGACGCGGCCTCCATTGCAGAGCCATCCTCTGCGGGTCCTTCTAGCGCCGCCCCACTCCATTGCAGAGCCATCCTCTGCCTTCTGCCATTGCAGAGCCACCATTGCAGAGCCATCCACTTGCAGAGCCACTTTTTCGGTTTTTTTTTGCTGACTCTCAGCGGTTTTTTTTTGCCGACGCGGCCTCCATTGCAGAGCCATCCTCTGCGGGTCCTTCGACCGCTGGCGCCGCCCCACTACATTGCAGAGCCATCCTCTGCGGGTCCTTCTGCCATTGCAGAGCCATCCTCTGCGTTTTTTTTTTGCTGACTCTCAGCGGTTTTTTTTGCCGACGCGGCCTCCATTGCAGAGCCATCCTCTGCGGGTCCTTCGACCGCTGGCGCCGCCCCACTACATTGCAGAGCCATCCTCTGCGGGTCCTTCTGCCATTGCAGAGCCATCCTCTGCGGTTTTTTTTTTTGCTGACTCTCAGCGGATTTTTTTTTTTGCCGACGCGGCCTCCATTGCAGAGCCATCCTCTGCGGGTCCTTCTACCGCTGGCGCCGCCCCACTACATTGCAGAGCCATCCTCTGCGGGTCCTTCTGCCGTTGCAGAGCCATCCTCTGCGTTCTTTTTTTTTTGCTGACTCTCAGCGGTTTTTTTTTGTGCCGACGCGGCCTCCATTGCAGAGCCATCCTCTGCGGGTCCTTCGACCGCTGGCGCCGCCCCACTCCATTGCAGAGCCATCCTCTGCGGGTCTTTCTGCCATTGCAGAGCCATCCTCTGCGGGTCTTCTACCTTTGGCGCTGCCCCGCTCCATTGCAGAGCCATCCTCTGCGGTTTTTTCTACCTTTGCCGCGGACCTTGTTTTTGTTTCTTAAAAAGCCCCTCTCTCTCTCTCTCTCTCTCTCTCTCTCTCTCTCTCTCTCTCTCTCTCTCTTTTCGTTTTTTTGCGGTTTGATCCTTAAGCTTTCGGGCCGGAGGTGATACCGCTTTTTTCTGACCGGACTCTGTCCTGGTCGCCTTCCACTCCACTCCACTCCAACAACCATCAGCCATCCACTGCGAAACTACCGCTACCCACCTTTGGCCGACAAAACGAGGTGTCCGGAAGGGCTTGCTCCCACTCTAAGCCAGCTGGAACGTGCTGCTGTACTATGCTGTGCTATCAAAGTAGACTGTGTTACTGTAGTAAGCGTCGAATCTAAGCTGTCTAAGCTAGTGTATCTTCGGACTTCAGGACTGCTGATATCCTTGCTTCCTGCAAGGCCTCATACAGCTCCTTAATTGCACAAAACAGACAGACAAACAAGCGGAATAAAAAAGAAAGAACACAAGCAGACACCAGGCACGGGAAAAGAATCTCCAGGGGCCCATTGGCAAGCATCAGTTGGCACCCCTCACGACAGGGGCCTGATGCTGCCGCAGGCAACCACCTGCTTGAGCCAGGGCCGGAAAAAGATTCCAGCCTACTGCTGCAGGTGAGGGTGGTGAGAGCGGTGAGGGCGGTGGGGTTGCGCTGGAGCCTTGAATGATCTTGAATGGCTCCAGAGCTTGCCCACACCCCCACCGCCCCCACGCCCCCCCCACCGCCCTCAACGCTCTCACCACCCTCACCTGCCCCCCCCCCCGCTCCCACCGCCCCCACCGCCTGAAATGCATCGCATGCCCAGACCCCCACCGCCGCCCTCACGTGCACCGTGACATGCAGTGTTTCAAGGGCTCCAGCTGGCACCCCTAGCAGGGGCCTGATCCACAGGCAACCACCTGCTTAATCCAGGACGAAAGGCAGACAGAGATTCCAGGGGCCCATTGGCAAGAAGAGCGAAAGAGAAAGCGAGAGTTGTTTGTGCAGTTGCGAACTAGGGATTCTTATGTTAAGGGATTCTGATGTTGAACATGGCGTTGTTAAAGGGGGGATTTTGGTTGTAAAGTGGGGATTCTGGTTGTAAAAGGGGGTTAATCTCCCCCGAACTTAAAAAGTTGCTGATCCTGCACTGCTTGCAGTGCTTTTGCAATTCGGGGGGGAGGGGGGGGCTGCGCGGTCCCCGCAACCCCTCCCACCCCCGCTTGTTTTGTTGTACGTGCAGAAGAGAACTTGCCTTAAAAGCATAGGAATCCTTTCCAACCCCATCCTGCGAGCATTCGTGTTTGCAACTGGGGGGACACCCCGAACCGCCTTGTTTTAATTTCACGCCCAGAAAATAAATTGCATGACAAGCATAGGACCGCATAGGAATCCTTTCCAAACCGAAATACAAAAACACAGAATGTTAACATTTTCTTATGAAACATGTCGATAAACTTCATATTTCCTATTCAAATATGGAAAACCCCAACCCCCCTCCCGGATTTTCTTCATGCTTGCTGGGGGCCACCTTCATTTTCTACCTCCAATGCATCCCGGTCTGCCATGAGCTCCCTTGATAAAATCCACTTGGCAACAGGGGGGCCTACCCTATGTCGTGCGGCGCCTTTTTGCCTGCCGCGCCCTCGGTGTGCCCAAAAGGTCGAAGCTTTTTAAGTTCCCGGCAGTCCTCCTACTCCTGTTTTGCAACCTGTGCCTGCGGTTCCGTCCACAAGAAAAAGTTGGCCTTCCTCTCTTCCCGGCTTATCACCTCATGCCGGGACGAGCTTTACAAGTTTCTGACATCTCAGCGGTGCCACGAAAGTGCAGCCCGAGCCTTCGTTGAGAATGCTCGGCACTCAGCACCGGCTTCTGAGGCCCACCACGTGCCCGATCTTGAGTCTGTTCTCGTCAATGAGGTGCTCATCTCTTCCCAAGGGTGGGTAGTTGCAAGCGCTTGCTGGCCCTGTGCCCCTCGAATCCGCATTTTGAGTCCGAGGCTTCCTATCGTTTGGGGAAGGACCTAGTTCTCGAAGGGGGATGGCATGCGTTGCTCTTTGCTCACCGACTCGCCTGCGAGATCCTTGCCCCAGCCTCCGGAAGAATGGGCTCGACTCAGCCCTGAGACTTTGTCTAGGCCTAATTCCTGATTCGATCGACTTGCACTTCTTTGTGTTCCTCGTGATTCCAAGTACGTTGGCTCTTTCAACCCGGCTATACCCGACTGTTGGTTTTCCGGTGAGGGGCCTAACCTCTTCCTTCGATCGTTAGTTGAACCCTGTACCAATAGGAGTGTGATTCGCCCCAGCAATTGGAGTTTTCAACCCGTGCTTCAGGCCTGATAGTCTCTGCGAAAATGCCCCTACAACCGGCAGCGCTGCTTGATAGTGCTTGCAACTTTACCTTCGCAGGGCAAGTAATTGACTTTTTCTTGAAAGAGAAGCCTCTGTCTGGAACCTGGGCTTTATCAGCCAGATGATCTTCCAACAGATGCAGTGGTGTGCAGAGGTCTCGCGCTACAGCAGTGATAAACTCGCATGATTGACGACCGGTGGAGTTGCCCCACACGGTTGATGTGGTGCGCCCAACGCCTGGCCATGAGGTGTCTGCCTGGTTGTAAGATTCTAGGCAGGCCGGTTTTATGATCTGGCAAGTGCCTACAAAGCAGTTGGCTAAGCCAGGACTGCACAGCCCTTAAATCATGTCTTTATTACATGTCAAACGTTCCTGCAATCTGCGAGGTGTATTCAGTTTTCCGATGCAAAAGCAGTAGTCGGGAGGGAACAAAAACTTTTCGGCTTGAACCGAGTTGTTTGTGACGAGTGATTCTTCCGCAGTCTTAGCGGCAAATGTTCGTCGTGCAGGGTAGCAACAACGCCATGGCCCCCCCAGGCAGCACAGTGCACTCTGAAACCCAAAGCATTTCACCACCCCTGCCCACTCAGTACTTTGGATGGTCTGAATCCTAACCCATGTGATATTGGCTGCACCAACTTCATGCTCAACCGCAAGGCCGTCCTTCTGCCTTCAGCAGATCAAGCAAAGGCTATTATCATGAAGAGCACGCAGAAAGCTGACTGCATGTGAGGCGGACTTGCATCACTATGGAGGCAGGGCCACATCCATTGCTGTGTTGCAAGTGCATGTGATTTTAGGCTCCAGCAATGCCAGGCTGTCGGCAATATCATGCTGAGCCTGCACCGAAACCTCCAAGAGATTCAGACATCCCTGGATGGTTCCGACCCCTTTGAGTAGATGTGTGCTGTGTGCACGTTGAATTTGGACATCTCGGAGAGCTCATTGCTGATGCCAGGTAGAGGTCAAAGCAGAGAGCATGAACTTCTGCTGGCGACTCAACGACTTGGCCACCTAATTGCTCAAATTGCCAGTGCCTATTTCAAATGCTTGGTTGGTCCAAGGCAAAATGCAATAGACCGGGCTGAGCAGGCGTTGCGTTCGCAGGCAGGCATACCGAAGTGTGCGTTACATGTGGGGAGTTCCAAACCACGAACAGGGGGGACTTGAAGTTTTGCATCTTTCTTGCGTGCCTCCAAAGGCTCGAAGTGGGTTTCGTTAGAAGGCAAAGGTCCAATCGCAGGATCATATGCGCAGCAACATGATACAGGTAGCATCTACTTGTTTCGCATGTTCAAACAGCCACTTGCAAGCCTTCATGGAGGAATGAGTTTGCGGACGTGAGATGCCATGACACGCCATGTGTTCTTTCAAAGATGTTCGGCAAACTGTTTGGGAAGTCGGGGCCGGCGGCTCCCCCAGCACCCCCAGCGCCCCCAGCGCCTTCAGACCCTCCATTACCTCCTCCAGCTGCCCCACCACCACCAGGATCAACAGCACCCAAGGCACCCAAAGCACCCGCACCTGCATTTGCGGGCCCAACTGCGGCCGTGGTTGAGGTAGTTGGAGCACCACCAAAAGCTCCCCCGAACGCGCCCCCAAGCCCTCCGGACAGCGCGGCCGATGGGCCTCCACCACCCCCACCATCTCTTCCTGCAAAAGCTGCCCAGAAGACCTCGTGGTTCGGATCTCTGTTCGCTTCGAAAGCTCCAAAAGCACCCAGTCCCCCACCACTTCCTTCCACCGCTCCTCCACCTCCTGGTGATGCACAAGGTGGAAGCGGGCCTGATGTGAAAGTGGCAGCCCCGGCTCCGCCCACACTGCCCCCTGTGCAGCCAGGGCCCACATCAAGCCCAACATTGCCACCTCCCACCGCGCCCGCAGCTCCCACAGCCCCCACAGCTCCCACAGCTCCCGCAGCTCCGGCAACGGTCTCGTCATCAACTGCGGCGCCAGGGCCTGTGGGCCCGGCTGCTCCGCTCGGTGCTGCAGGTGCTGCAGGCGCCGCGGCAGCACCGACCTTGCCACCAGTAGTTACGCGACCTGCACCAACGCATTTGCCACCACCGACGGCTACACAGCCACCCCAACCATCCCAGCCATCCCAGCCATCCCCACAGCCAGGGCAAGGTGAGCCAACCGCGCAAGTGGCACCGTCGCCGCCAACAGCTCCTCCTTTGTGCACCCTTGCTCCACCGAGCCGACGGCCAGCACTGGCACCTCGAAGACCACCGGAGATTCGGGCTGCGGACATCGAGGAGGCGGCGCAGAGCTGGTTGTCTTTAAAGCAGGACTGCCGATGTTTGGGTCCAACACCACCCGCTCACGGTGGGCTGGGCCATGAAGAGTCTAGACTCTACGTGCCACGGCTGCAAAGCATTCCAGCTCAATCTTGCTGTGACTTGGGCGCTTCCCTCCCCTAAGTGTCCGACATGAGGTTCTGCGAATGACTGCTGTGGGCGAGATCGAGGCCTCAAGCTCTGCAACACTTGGAGGGTGTGTGGTATGCTTGTCACGTCATTGACCCTTTGCCTTTTGTCCGCAGCATGTCTTGTAGGTTCCGATCGCGGCCAATGGGACTTTGCAGAGGTTCCTCACTCGCCTTGATCTGAATGCAGTGCAGCATGACTGTGTTTTTGTTGGAGCATTCACTCCAGGCAAGCCCTCGCCCGCTTGGCTCGGGCGGCGGAGGAAGAGATGCCTGAGGTCGACCCAGTCGACAAAGCGCAACCCCGTAGCTTTGCGATGTGCAGCTCGTGCAGGCCCTGTCTTTGCAGATCCGGCTCTCACTCGTGTACACTCCCATGGGTGGGAGGCGGTTCTGAACCTGAACCATGCACGGCTTTTGTGGGTATAGAAGACATGCCTGATGGACTGACTGTTGAAGGCCCGAACTGTACGGATACAGCTTCTCTGGTGCCCGGTTGCGAGTTCAGCGTGCCATCGGCTGAGGCAATAAGCATCGTAGGATCGTAGGGCATTGCACTGCGTCTTAGCATCTCGTATCACTGCGCCCGAATGCCTCTGAGGTGCAGAGCCGACTGGCTGCTAATGCCAGCGAGGGCAGCGTTGTCGTTCGTGCCTTGGGTCTGCAGCTGCCGGAAGTGTTTCACAGTCTTCCACGGTGTTTCACCGTGTTTCACGGTGTTTCGCGCTGTTCGGCTGTGTTTGAGGTCCACGCCATCGTTAGCTTCTGAGCTCATGCTGGACATTTCAACACCAGGGACCCAGTTTCTCAGTGTTCTTACGGAGGCAGAGCCGCCATCTCTCTTCTACTTTCGCTCTGCCGTCGCCAGCTGGGCTCCCCAGGGCCTGCATGTAATGTGCACAGAGATATGGCAATACGTTGCTCAGGCAAGGAAGCTCAAGTCTTGGTCGAGGTCCTGGCTTTCGAGGAGCTGACGGCAGAGACATGTGGACACTCATTACCCAAATTGTTGCCATGAGACTTGATACAACCATACAACCATATGTTGTGTGCTTCACTCGGAGCACTGCGGTCAGGATCCGCCCAAGAAGCCCGCGGCTGGATCGACAGCTCCAGCAAACAGGACGGTTTGTTCGGTGTTTTTGGTTTTCGCCCTTTTTTGTTGATGCTGGTAACCTGGTGGTTTAGGGTTTAGGGTTTAGGGTTTCGGGTTTCGGGTTTAGGGTAGCTTTGCCTTGGTGTGAGGATCTGGAAGCTCGCAGTGCCCATCCCGAAAGCAAAGGCGCAGCCGAGACCCAAGCCCAAGCCAAAGCCCAAAGCCAAGCCCGGGATTCTGGAGCCGCCGGAGCCCCAAGCGGCAGAGCAGCTGCCCTTTAAGCCTTTGGGCCCTCCACCCGGTGGTCGGGCGGAGTCCGCGTGGCCCCTTGCGGGTGGGACCTACCCGTCGCCGCTCTTCGGGGATCCACCTCCCGAGTGCGTGCTGGGGTGGGCTCTACTCCGCATCTCGGTGTGTATTGAGTTTTGAGGGTTTGCCGTTCATTGTTCATTGCTGTTCATTGCTGTTATTTTGAGCTGAAAGCTGGAGGATCAAGAAGTTGTTGAAAGAGTTTGAAAGAGAGAACACGGAAACGCTTCTGAGGTTTCGACTTGGCGACGGAGTCGCGCAGTTCCCTGAGGGCGCAGCTACGGCCCGGGAAGCTTCGCGATCACTTGTCGAAGAACGCTCCAGGCGCAAGCAACAAACGAATCAGACGACCACCGACTTCCCCTATCTCCGACTGCCTAACCCTAAAAGCCCTAAAAACATCTAGAAACCCTAAATACCCTTAATACCCTAAACCCAAGACTTATGCTCTCTTCTTGCCAGGAAAGAGCACTGCCGCGGCAGAGGCCGAGCTGAGCCGCCTCTTCGCTTCAACCTTCAAGGCGCTTCCATTAGATGGAGTTAGAGTTACACAGTTATGCAAGGAGTTGTTGCAAGCTCGCAGCATGTTTGCCACATCTAGCTGCAATCACTTTTACCTTGCGTTGCACTCTTTTGGTGTGTGTGCGTGTGTGTGTGTGTGTGTGTGTGCATGTGTGTGCGGGGGCGTTGTTCTCGGTGCACATGCGATAATGTCGAAATCGGTTTGTTGTGTTGGCGCGGCATGTACATTGTTTATGCGAGTTCGTAAGATTCGGAACGTTCGGACTCTCAGTGCTGCTGGCAGTGGGATTTCCTTGCATGGGTTTGCCTGACTTATTTGCGCAGAAAGCTTGGCCAATTGATTTGAGTTTTAGTGGCTTTAAGGTTGCCGATCGGCGTAGAAGTGCCCAAGTTGCTACCTGAGACCCAAAGTCTTTGGAGTCTATTGAGTTGGTGACAGACACTGGGCCTTCAAAGGTGTACCGGCGAAATTGACTTTGCATATAGTTTTCGTGTGTTTAGCCGTGCAGTGCTGAAGGTTTTGTGATAAATCCATCTAGAAAGTACCTGCATTGACCGCTTCACTCTTTAGTTCGTTGTTTCGTACATTTATTACGAGAACGGAGCGCTTACGAACCCACATAATTACAGGCGTCATTAAGTGAATGGACAACCTGCAGGAAAACAGTATGTTGCCACGTGGCTTTTGTTCTCAGGGGTTTTCCATCGCACCTCAGGTCAAAACAAACCCTTGGAACCATCATCTGGTTCACTTTGCTTGTATGATTCTCGGCGTGCACCTTTCATAATTATGGTGAACAAAAGAATTAAGTGAATACGCGGGTGCACGAATCGAATTTATTGTCAGCGCGTGTGTGAACGAATCAACGAAACAAGAACCAAGGTTGATTGTGCACTCGCGAATCATTCTCTGTGTTCAACTGCCAGTCAAGCTACGTCCAGCCTTCCCTTTTCCCCACCGGTATTCTTTTTCAATCTCACCAATCTCACACCGCCCACAGTTTGTAAAGCATGGAGCGAGGCCGCAAGCCCCTCAACCCAAAACCGTCAAAAGCCCTAAGCCAAAGCCCCTGAACCCATCCAAACCGTGTTTCGAGGCGAAGCAGCCCCCAGTGCTGGAGTGCGACCTTCAGGTAGGGCAGCTTAGGTGAACTCAAGTTGACCTGTCCGAGCACCATTGAATACCCTTGTTCAAGAGGCAAGCCATGTTTCAACAAAGCCTTTGTCAATTCAGCATTTCCTCCTGTAAGCCCGCCAACATGGATAGTAAAGAAAGCATGGTGAGCTCCCAGAAAGACACTTCGCGGATTCTGGTCTTCGCTCTGCAGGTCATACCTCTGGATGATGCACCTCGCCGCCTGCTACCGCATGACTTCCCGGCTGCTTGCCTGCATGCAGAAGCCACTTTTGCACGCAATGTGTGTGGGCTTACTTGCACTTCGTTGCACTTGTGAGTGTTGGAAGGCTGTGACGGAGTCTCACCGCATGGGTGGCCTGGAGGTGATCGAGGACAGCGAGTAGGTCTTCATCGGCTCAAGATGTCCCAAATAAGGGTGCCGAAGGTGTAGTGAATACGGTGCTGAAGCTTCGAGGGATGTCGAGGGACAGGCTCGAGCGCCTTGACTGTCATCTGTAGCTGCTCTAGCTGACTCTAGCTGCTGTAACTGCAAGGACAAGTCTGGGCTGCAGATCGAAGGTGCTCTCAGTCCCAATGTGCTTGACCCCGATGTGACACTCAGAGGCAGGTTCATTGCGTCAAGGGTCGGTTGACTTCGTGGGTTCGGCCTAGGCACTCAAGGCACTCAGGTCACTCAAGTTTCACGAAGCTGCCCTGTTAGGTCTTCTGGTAACCCTGCCTGATGCTGGCTGGATGGAGACTTTCCTGAGGCAGGATCGTTGGCGTTGAGGATTCCCACCTTCGCACAATCTTGCTCTGAAGCTGCTCGACTATCGGAGTTTGCTTCGCGGTTGGTATATGGGTATTTCCCAAAGTAGGGGTACCCTTTTATGCCCCAGATGGAGAAGACTGAAACCCCTTATTGAACGGGACCCCCCCCCTAGTCTCGGAACCCCCCCCCATATCGCGGTAGGGCCTGCAGGTCGGTTCCCCAGCCGTCCGTCCAGGTCGCCGGCTTGTGGGAGCCCTAAAATTGCTTCACGCCTCGCACGCCTCTCAGTGCCTTCTGTTTCTTGCAGAATGATCGGTGGAGGCCTAGCACTGTGGCTTGGGAGCTTCAGGAACTGCATCTTCTTGTGCCAAGCCCAAGTTTGGAGTGAAGAGATGCTGAGCAACTTTGTGAGGGCCCCTCGTCCGAGGTCGGCTCCCACAATACTCTGCGGTGGCTCGATGAACCTCTGCGAGGCGGCGAAGCTCGCCGTGGTGGATCCGCAAATGCTTGCAAATCGATTTTGGTGTCGCGTGCCGAAGTACCCGAGGACCAAACATGCTCCGAGGTTACTGAGTGTAGTTCCGATTGCCGGCAGGTCTCACGGCGGGGATGGCCGCGCATTACCCTCTAGATGATACGGGCCATACTTGGCGGCTGAAGCTCGACAAGCTGGACAGACTGCAGCTGCATTTCTGCAGATTCCTAGCTTCGGCGGAGTGAAATTTTGAGGCCGCATGTAGATGCAGTTCAATTAAATTAGACGAGGCTCGTCGAGACTATCTAGAAGAAGTGAAGGATAACGGATCACTATCTTGTTCAGATTTCCGCATGTCGAAGTGCCGAGGGTCATGTCCTCCAAGTAGTTCTAGTCTTCGAGGAGGATGGCCAGCGGTTTTGGTTTGGCGGCGAAGTTCCACTGGAGTTTGTGCCGGAGCCCCATCATGTCCCATCCCTTCCTGACTGTATGCATGAGCCTTGTGACAAGCAAGGTGCCACCCGGATTGCGCAGTGATTGTGGAGCTGGTGGCAATACTCCGGGCACCCGGTGTAGCCGCTCCGCCACCACAGCCCACGCAGGCTTGGACTCAGTGCTGATGTGGCGTCGGGCCGCTGGTGTTTTTGTAACACAGATGTGTGCCATGTGCTACCGGCTGGTGACCGGCTATTGTGGAATGTTGTGTACTACTGCTGTACTGCATTGCTTGAGGCTGGAACGGCTGCCACGCCACTCCTTTCAGACCAGGCAGTGCAACCCCAGGATCTGTTGTTGGAGCCTCAGTCAATCTTAGTGTGCTTCGCGGATCATGTTCAGCAAAGCCTCCCCATCTTGTCATTGTTGTTCTCTAGGCAGAAGCAAACACTGGGCTGGTTGCTCATGCTGCCGTTCTACCAGACAACCAGCGAGGCCTGCATGCCCTCAAGTCCCCTGTTGGCCGTCGTTGCCTTAACTGTGCCAGGGGCTGCTGAAGGCATCCACTGCAGCACCAGGGGAGCGCCAGGAGCCTACTCAGAGCCCAACGAGACCACCTCCAATCTACCAATGGCGGAAAGCCTGCCAGCACATCCATTCCCAGTCATTCCCAGTTTCTGTTTAAGAGGGCTCTTTTGCAACACACATTCTCCAAAGCGACAGCAACACACTTGAACGGCGTCTGCATTGCACATGCAGTTGGTGCAATGCTAGCTGATCCGACACAATTCAAGCTCCCCAAGGTCCTGCTGTGGCCTTCGATATGGAGTTCTTCGGAGGACCGGGCTTGTCCATGCTTTCCGAGGAGGCTCGAAGCGGAGATCGCGGAACTGCAGGAGACGTTCGTTTGGAGTTCCCTTGACCCCTTAGGGCTGACCTGCAGGTGTGGTCGGCGTCGGCTCAGGGCCCTACCACCATCGCGACAAGGCCACCGGGATGCACATGGAGTTCTGGAGAGCGCCTACAGTGCTACAGTATGAATGTCCTCATAGTGTCTCATGGTCGCTTGAAGGGTTGACTCCTGAAGGAGTGCTGGGTTCTGCTGAGGGTTGCTGGGAGCCCCACATTGCACGCTACTCGTACCAGGCCGGCAGAGACTGCAAAGCCGACCCGGCCGGCACTGGCGGTGGGATGCTCAGAGACAGTTACACCTCTACATGAGCCGGAGCGCAGGTTTTTTGAAAGTAGAGGGAGGGGCATGCGCTGGCTTGTACAAGCTTGTACATCAGCTCTGCAAAACCTATACAATTGAAGGGGAGCTGAAGCTTGACAAAGGTGACCGTAATCATCAAATTAGTCACTTAGCCGAGGCATGAGGGAAAGTGGCAAGCCTTGAAGCCTGGACTACCCCAATGTTGTGGGCAGATGCGGGCATGTATGCATCACCAATCAAGTCTGATGCACACAAGCGAGTGAGAAGCGATGTGACTTGCGAGCCCCCACACTTAAAACAGACCTGGAGACCACGGTAGCCGTGAGCATGCTAATCACTCATCCTTACATTTAAAGAAGGGTGCTTCCCGACTAGCATAGTCGCACGTAGAGTGTGTCGGCAATCTTTTTGCTTGCAAGCCTTCAAGCATCGCCTCACAGCCCCAGTACGGCAACCGCGGAACAACAGGGCTCTGATGTTGCAGTTTGTCGTGTGAAGCTGTCTGACAAGTGTTGCTCTGTCCTTCAAAGTATTCGGGGCTTGCAACATCTTAGAAAAACTGAGGCCAGCAGGCTAAAAGCCAGCTTCGAGCTCTGCGGCGACCGCCTGGTACAGCAGCTTGTCGACGAAAAGCGGTTGTACCTCTGCTCACTCTTTGCCCTCGCGGCCGAGCCTGGTGCTTCACGTGCACTGAGGTGGCTGCGGCAGCACATACCGTTGCCCAAACCAGAGATCCAGCTTCTGGTCTGAACCGGAATGCCAAAGTCTGCCAAAGATTCTGAAGTTGGAGTGGCTGAGGGAACCGGCAGCTCCCAAGCCCGTGACTCTGCAGCCGCTGTGCCTTGTCTTTGTCAGTGTGTGTTCAGAGCACAAGGGGGTTGTTTCCATGCTGATTCTTGCTGCTGTGGCTCCCAGGCCCTCCGTGTTCCCGCAGCCTCAGACGGCGCTGGCAGTGCCAGCAACCGCTCTTCAGGACGGCTGCCCGGCTTGGCCAGCTGTGTTAATTGGCTTCCAGTTTTCCTATTCTGCCAGGGTCTTCCCTACTCGCCTCCGCAGTTGGCTCAACCGGCTTTGCCAGCAAGTGCCTCAGAGCCTGACGATTGAGGGCAGTTGTGCGCAGGTCGTACAGGTCCTTTTGAGGTCGTGACAGGACCACTTTGCAAATACTTGCGACGAGAGGTCGGGCCGGCTGGGCCAGTGCCAGTGCCGACACCTACTGTGCCAGTCGGACCGGTGGCGAACTCGGCAAAGGATTGGCAACGGTATGCAGGGATCCGATGCAGATTGTTCAACTCGGGGGCTCTGCTCTTTCCCGAGGGCCCAGCTGTCTATCAGCCGACTATGGCACCCGCGATGATGACGCCCCTCCCGACGCCAGCACCTGTGGTGGAGAAGATTTACCTGCGAGATCAGGCAGTGCAAAGCGATCCACCAGCAATTCCAGGCCGGTTACACTGCAAGGACCTAGACCTAGGCAACAGGTCTTGAGCTAGCTTGACAATGCTTGACACTAGACTGGACAGGTGCCGACGACAACCTCATTGAGGCGCCCAAAGCACCCAGCTCCAGCGTGGCAATCGGGACCGGGCCCCCTGCTCGGCCCCTCAGCGCCGTGGACAAGGCAAACCTGCTGCAAGCCACAGGAGGACCCAAGCCACCGGGGCCACCTGGGCCATCTGTGTCTCCGGGTGAGAGTGTAGCTCAGAAGCGCGAGCTCCGGTGGAAGTTCGAGGATGAGGACATGCTCCAAGCGGATGAGATTTCTCTGGAGCTTCTCACTCTTCGTAGCTTCACACCCGCGGAAGGGGAGCGGGTCTACTTCCAACTGCGCTTCTTCCAGTTCCCGCCGGTCAAAACGGCGCCTGCCGCCCTGTCCGGCAAGCCTGGCGAGGCCTGCTTGCTGAGAAGCGCAGTCACCAACGAGCGCCTTGCCATGGTTTTCCAAATGGATGGTTATGTCACCAATGGCTCTGTTCCTACATCTGCGGCAACTGTGCATCGTCGCTTGGTCACCTATCTTAGCGCCCGAAGTGCTGACATTGAGATTTGGAGTGCAGAGTCTGGTATGCATGTCGGCACAACGTCGGTTCCTCTTGAGATGTTGGTCAGGCAGGGGCATCAGGTTGCCAAAGTTGAAGCAGAATATGCAGTTCTGGAGCCTCTGTCGGGGGAGCCGAAGGGAACCTTGAGAATGCTGCTGGTAAATCGTGGTCGCCCGCCCACCCCATACCAACGCTTGAACTCCAACAACGTACTGCCGCCAGATGATGCCAGACCGCTTGACTCGCCACCAGCGCCGCCTGCACCTCCGTCTGCTCCCAGGCCGAGACGCCACAAGGTCTCCGCTTTGATCGATGGGTCCGAACTTCAGATTCACGGAGCTCAGAACCTCACTGGTCAGGGAACCATGGCAGAAGAGCTCAACCAGCGAAAGCACGAGAGGCTGAAGCAGTTGCGCATGCTTCGCAAGGCAGATGCCACTGATCCCTTCTCCGATCACTCTGCGCGTTTAGCGGCAGCGGAGTCGGTTCGGCAGGAACGCAAGAGACAAGAGGTTGCCCGAAGAATGGATCGCTTCAACACTACGCAGCAGTCTCTCACCGCGAGCTTTGCCACTCCATCCTATTTTTCCGTGGACTTCACCAACCCGTACGGGCAGCAGGCTGCCTTCACGGTCCTGGTGACCGGCGACAAGCCCCAGGTGCCGGAAGTCCTGCCAGCCGTGCCACCACAGCAGCCCCTTCAAGGTGCCAGGGACTGAGACTGAGACGAAGGGGTCGGAGATGGTCAGAGCATAGATCCCAAGAAGTAAAGTTCAATGTTATGCAGTATGTATGTCTCAATGTGTTCTTCCACCAGTCTTGATGAGTCTTGGCCCAGGTTCTCACGGAGACGCCGAAGCAGGCTCTCATGCTGGTCAAGGACCCGGAGGAGCCAGGCTTAGCACTCCAGCCCTTTAGACTTTTGCGTCTTTTGCTGCCTTGCGTTTAGTCGCATGCCTGCGACCTCTGAAAGGAGTGGCGACGGCTGGTGTCCTCGGGCGTTCTTCCCACAGCGCCGTCAGGCTCTGCAGTCTGCTTAACGGTGCAGTCCGCTGGGGCATTGTCTTTATCCCGCTAAGTGCTTGAAGCAGTAGCTGACATGGCTCTCGTTCTTGCGGTGCAGGTGATTTCGCACGCTTGGCGGCGGGCACCTTCATTCTGAATCCCAAGGAGAGCATCAGAAACTGGACTGCACGTCTTACGAAGGGTTGCTGTAGGTAGGTCTGGTGCTGGGGGGGGGGGGGGGAACTCAGTTCTGATGGGCAGTTCTGCAGCAGATTTAGAGGCGTCACTTAGACGTAGCATGGTGAAGCACAGAAGTCCTTCCGAGATGCTGGAACCAATGGATACAGGCGGTTTCGCCATCAGCAATCAGAGGTCTTAGTTATTTGCAGACAAGCAGCCCACTGATGCCATGATTTGCAGGTGCAAGCGCTAGAAATGCAAGCATGGGCAACATACACGTTGGTACAACCAGTGCTTTCGTCTTATGAGCTTCGCTGAAATTGGCCGTCAAGCCTTGAGTTGCAAATCTCAGACCAGAGGTATTGTTTATCGTGATTGTTAGACTTTCGGTGTGCCCCAGAATGTTTCCCCCCAAAATAGAGTTAGTCTATGCCAACTCTGCTGCGGTGAGATTTCGAATAAACGCCGCGAGCATGCCAACATGTAGGAGGTTTCGTAGTTCGCCAGCACCGAGCCATCAAGTGCAGTGTTGAAGCAGAGGCCTGCCTTTTCGGTACTTGGACTTCAACTTCCCGGGCTTGGAAACATCAGCGCAGGTGGCACGGCGCCTAGGAGACTCGTCTCAGCGCGGCAAAGATGTTCCGACAAGCTATGGCACGTTCCAAGAAGGCTTCAAGCTTTCACATGACCAAGGCTCCGCCTAGCGGCCTTCGCTTGGCCGACGTGGCTGCTGTGGTGGCGGGGCCGAGCAGCAAGGACTTCCGGGTTGAGGCCAGAACGGAGGGTTTCGGATATTCCAAGGAGAGATGCCTTCGAGTAGGCATACGTGGCAGCTGATCACTGCTGATCTGGCGCGTGCTGTTTCGTCTTCGTGACTTTTGTGAACATTGTGAACGCTTCGCACACGTGCCCTGCGGTTGTTGAACACAGTGCCCAGTTTTCTGAGTTTCCATGAAAGATAGTGCTCGAAAGGGCAGTGGAAGGCAGTGATGATGTTTCCACACAGATGCATTATCATGCATTCGGCAGCACGGATGTCGAGCGGTGCTGTTCGTATGCCAAAGCGTTGTTGTCCTGCCACATCACTTCACGCGGCTTCCCATGATCCTGCATTCTTTCCAAGTTCACAGGGGGTGTGAGACAGGTGTGCGATCATGTGCATCATTGAATGGATGCCTGATGCTTCGCCTCCCAAACAGTAGACTGCATCCCAAACAGTAGACTGCTTCTTGCTTTAGTGGTTAAAGTGTTTTTTCACGGCGATCAGCCAAAGAATTCCGCATGCGTCTTGGCTGCCTTTGGCGAGGTGGCTTTGGATCAGGGTCCCGTGCTACGGCGTGTGGAGGCCCTTCCTTTTTCAATGACTCAGCTTCAACTTTATCCCACGCTGGTCAGTCATGAGCCAATTATCCTTGATACCCTGAACCCTAAACCCTGAGCCTGTTGGTGGGCCTGCAGTGTGCCCGAAGCTGATTGCAGGTTGCGGTTGTGTCGCAGCCCGCCTCCATTGACCGGACGGTGCGCTTCTTCGAGGCAGCTTGTCAGAGCCACAGGGACAGATGAAGACATCTGTCCCCAAGCTCTGTGAAAACCGTCTCAGAGTGCGATATTCTCCGTATACACCGCGCCACTCCACCTCTCTCCACATCCCTCCAGGCTGAGGGCACCGCCGCGGAGAAGGCCAAGCCGGGACTAAGGGAGAGGAGAAGTGTTGTGTATGTCCTTGTTTGCTTCTTTGTTTGTTTTGCAGCATGAGTTGTTGATGCTGAAGTCTTAAAGTCGTATGAAAGGTCTTCACATGCTCTGATGCCCCAGTCTGCTTTCCTCCCTGCTTTCGGCTGAAGGTGGTGGCATTGCCACCCTCACCAGAGCCGTTGGGGTTCCCAGACCCGGGATGGTGCCAGATGTGCCAGTGGGGGGGGGGGGGATTTAGGGTTTAGGGCGGTTTAGGGCGGTTTAGGGGGGTTTAGGGGGGTAGGGGGGTTTAGGGGGGGTTTTGGGCGGGTTACAGGTCCATAACAGTTGTCAGATGTTGTCAGTGTAAGGTCAGCTAAGGCCTACGTCTCTGTTGGCAAGTCTGAACTGCCATGCTGCTGGTTCGTGTTGTTTATTCCATGAGGTTTGCAGTTGATCCTTGAATGAGGTCGGTTGGTAGCTGCTACGTGTATTGCACCAACAGAGATGCAGCGGGCCCCAGACTTTCAGTGATCAAAAGTTTATCGAAGTGAGATGTAGCGAGAGTATCTTGACGACATGTGACACTCTCCTCTCTTGCTCTGTGGGGTCTGTGGGGTCTGAGGTTCATGTGCAGAGGAGAGAGCAGGACGCAGCTTGGGTGTCTTGCGGGGTCTCACGCGCTGCTCGCGATGTCTCGGCGTGCTTTAGACTCAGCATGACGAACTACCGCCCAGAAAGGATGAGGTCTCCTTGCGCTTCATCGCCCCCCAGTCACCTGACATGCCCTGCTCTTATCGGGTATGACTCTCTGCATGCTCAACAGTTTGCGTTCGTGGTGCCTGAGTCTGCATCTATACGGTGTGCACCGAGGCTTTCCTTCTTCCTTGTTTTTTATGCGGACCAGCACTTCAGCCAAGTGGCGCACACCTCGGGGCGCAGAGTCTCAACAGAGTGCCTCCCAAGCTGTTTTTAAGCATGCTGCTTTTCACGTAGCTTCGAGGAGGGGAGCTGACATCCGGCTTCCAACTGTAGTTACTGGCTGGTTCTTCGTAGGGAATGCGGGAATGAAGTACCCTATATACTCCCTTAAGGGGTCTATAGAAATATATATATATATATATATATAGGGCCCTAATTCCCTCATTCCCTACTAAGAACCAGGCTGGGTCATAATCATGTGATGTCATGTGTGCTCGAAGGTCGCCATCCAACTGATCGATGTACAGGGTCTTCGCACCGAGCGAATCCGTCTTGCGGGAGCTTCAGAGACATTCAGCGCTTTTGCTCCACCAAGCCTCTTTTTCCCCCTGGCTCTGAGTAGGGAATGAGGGAGTTAGGGCCCTATATGTATACCCTTTAAGGGAGTATATAGGGTACCTCACTCCCTCATTCCCTACTCAGAACCAGCCAGTTTTTGCTCTTGGGCTTGTCTGCACAGGTTGTTGGCCAGAGTGTCGAGCGCGCGATTTGCCGCTGCCCTGGAGCACGTCATGGGTTGCGTGGTAGGCAGGTTCTTGTTTGATCCAGGGGGCCCCTTTGGAGACTGAGAAGAGAGCCTGAGGTCTGGCACCCGCCGAGGTGGCGGGCTTTCTGCGGCTTTGGAGTCCAAGGGGCGTGTAAAGCCGTGGGACGTTTGATGAGAGATCATGGGAGGTCTTGGATGCTGGAGCGGTGCGGCTTCACTCGTCAAACCCTGAGGCTGTTGCTATTGTTGCTGCTCTTAAGAGTGATAGGACAAGATGCAAGACTTTTCAGCTTCCGGTGCAGGTGGTTGCTGTCCAGCATACGGCTGAGGTGCGCAGGGCATCCACTTCATTTAGCTTGCCGAGTGTTCGTGAAATCGTGCACCTGCCTCCGATCGGGACGGCAGAAGTCACCATCAGGTCGATCCTCGCTATGGGGTGAAGTTCACCGTTCTAATTACCTCTATGCAGGCACGAAGGCTAGTGAGAAAGTGACACAGGGCTCCAGCGGCATTTAAAAGACTGAGGTTGGAAACCGAGCTTGCCGCTTGCATGCGGTGGATCCAGCCATACGACGGCTAGTTGCAGTTCCAAGCTCAGCAGTCTCCCCCTGCTATGTCCAGTGATTGGGATTTTCTGGCAGCCTGGCAGTTTATTGAGCGTTGGTCTAAAGGCCTAACCCTCTGGTGATGGACTTCAAACACGTTTACGAAGCCCCCTCTTGCACCGTCCCCCCCTCCCCCCCCCGCAGCGAAGTTGAGAGGGACATGGGACGTCAGGAAGGGATTGCCTAATCCCATGCCCACGAAAGAAGGCTCTGAAAGCCTGAGCTCAAGCCTGGTCTGCTGAGCCAGACATGGCCACAGGCATGGCCACATGGCGCCTCCGCCACATGTACTTGAAGTAGTCGAAGTTTCGAGTATGTGGATGATTGGCTCGAACGAGTGCCATCGAGACCCGAGATGTTTTTGTCAAGCTTTTGCATCTCTTGCCGAAGTTGAGGCACTGCTAGTCGTGGTCGTGGCCGATCCTCCAGAAGTCAAGGCAGGCGAGCCCAGACAGTTGGGTTCTCTGAACACCGTCCCTGTCAGATGGTCCACACCATCACCCTGCCTGTTCGGAGCTTGATTGGCATCCTGATTTTGTCGTATTTTCCCTTGCGGCCTTCTTTCGGTCCCATGAGTTCTGTCGAAGGTCCTCACGGCCGTCCGCAAGCGCCTCCTTTACAAGAACGAGGCTGGAAGATACATAGGAATACAACGGATCAAAGCGGCTCGGCTTGTGCACTTTCTGGTCCAGGCAGTCCGGCCCATCAAGTGCCTTTCCCATCTTGGAGACGAATGCAACTCTGCACGCTTTTGTCGCGCACGCTTGACTCATCCAGGTACATAGTGCGATGCTCCGAACCAGCTTTGGTGACAGTGCAGCCCTATGCTAAGCTCCGGTCGGGCGGATGTTCGAGACGCAGCACGCTGTCTTGCGATCCCACGTTTTCAAGGTCCCCGGAGCTGGTGATCAACTCCCTAGACACGCGTTGCATCGAGCTCCTGTCAGCACCTTAAACTGTCGGCTTGCCGTTGCTTGTGGTCGGTTCTCGGCGGCTTTTGCTCCCAATTTAGCAGGCCTGTTCACCCACAGTCCAGTTCTCGTAGGAAGTGATGTGGCCCGGTACCTTTTTGGCACTGCCTTCATGGAGCCAAGGTTTCATGCAGTTCCTGCTACGCTGTCCTACAACGCCGAGGCCGAGGGGCATATGAAGGGGCAACCTAGGGGGCAAACTGTGCACGAGGTCTGTTGGGTTTGTGTTGTGAAGCCACATGACCCTCGTGCCATGTGGAAAGAGGGAGATCTTTTTGTGTTCAGGTCTTCCTGTTCATCACCTCGGAAGCGGATGCCTCGGACCACGTGGAGCTCAGCTAACAGACTTCTGAATGTCCAACATATCCCATCCATACCGTAGCCTACCCAAGACGACCTGATTCTGTTTCTTGATACTTACATGTCTGGCAATCTACATCCTTTCTTGCCTATCAATCATAGCTGGAAAATCCGCCGTCTTCACCTTCCTACCCTTCCTATAGCGACCCGTCGCTTGCGTTGGCTTTGCACAGGATCGTGCCATCCACGAGACTCGCATGCTGGAGCTCGCATACACCTGAGTCAGGCAGCTGACGTGGTCTCTGCGCTGGAGTCCTGCAAATTCAGAATTCCAGACTTGGCTTGGACCAGGCAAGTTGCTGCTAGCATGCTGTCAAGCTTTTCAAGCCAGCGTGGCGCGCACGGACAAGCCAAGTCAATCTGCACGCTGCATTGATGCACTGTAAGTGCATCTCTGCCCAGCTAACGAAGTTGTCCTGGCCTACAAAGGGGAGCCGGGGGAACTGGTCCAACTTGTGCAATACTGCTGAGAACTCGAAACCTGCAGTTTGGTTCGGGTTGTCATGCCCGTAGCTCGGAGCCGTCTCAGACTGCTTTTGCAAGTGGTAGCAGACTGGCTCGTGTCTAAAAAAGCGTGTTTCCTCACTTTCCCTGAGCCGGCGGCGGTGCGGCTTCACAAGCTGTCAGGGCAAGTCGTGCTTTCAGAAGCTTGTGAGGCCCACGCATTGGTGACAGCAGCTCGAGGCTCCAGGCAGATGCTGAGCAGCGCCTTGGCATGCCTTGAGAGATGAAAGTTTGAAAGGGGGCCTGTATCCATGGGTTTCTGCCATGTTCTGCACCTTCGCATACCTTGGCCTCTTGCAGCATGTGGCAGCCCAGGTAACTCGCTGGCGGCATCGCAAAGTTCTCAGGTGTATGTATACGATTCATGTCAATCCTGCTAGCTGGGTGGCCTTCCAATATCTGGCCTAGTGCAGCGCTAGAGTAGGACCATCTTCATCAAAGCAGCAGTCGAGTCATTCTGAAGCTCAGAGCTGGACTCTTGTACTGGTCTCCTATCGCTGTGCTTGCAAGGCTTGGCGCGGACTATGCCGAGCCGCGGGTCCGGTCCACGGCCTCAGCCCCAGAATCTCAGAAGGAGGGGGGGCGGAGCCGGAACGAGATGAGCAGATTGTGGTGACGGTTGCAAGCACACAGCATAGTTTCAACACCGCAAGCATGGCACGCACTGCCTGGTCACTTGGGTGGTTTCCTCATGCACTGAAACCCTACACTCTGCGAAGGCGTGAACATTTGCCTCAAACCATGCTTGTAGTCCTGCAGTGACACTATTGCGAAGAATTTGAACTGGCGAGCCGGCATTGCATTCCTTGCGCCAGCCGCCACCTGGACCACCTCCGCCCCAGCTCCCACGAGCACCGGCTGCGCGCCCCAGAGGGGTCCACAGTGTCATAGTGGGTGTCCCTTGCAACTGGACGTGATGCGACCAGCTTCCGCTTCTTGGGTCAATTCCTGGAGTGACGTCCTGGGTTGGATCATAGATCGGTTCGGCCTGGAGTCGGACTGCAGCTCGTCTCTTGCTACACTTACTCCGACGGTTGAGCTGATGCCTTGACGAGTAGTCGCGAAACAGGGGGGTCTTAGGAGCTTACTTCGGAGACATCTTCCATCGCAAATTCGCAGGCAGCGCCGCCGGGCTATGGTGGTCGAGCAGCAAGCACGGCCTGGACCTCGTAAGACTTTCTTAGCTTGACCGGAGGTGCTCGCTCGGCTTTGATTGGCTAGCTTCAGGAACTTGCAGTAATTTAGTTGTCGATCACAGGTTAGCAAGTTCTTTGGGCGAGTCGCAGAGTCCCTGGCTTTATCGGTATGACAGGTCGATACTTGTAACTCATGGCATGAGTCGGGTGGGAGGTCCCCCGCCAGAAGGCCTCAAAGCCTCCCGCCTTCCCGTACTCGACAGGTAAACGCATGTAATGTAAGCACCTCGAAATATAGAAATGACCACGCTTTACCCTAGCTTCACAGCCTTCGTACTTCGGTTCTTGGAGTCACAGAGGCCATGTTCGCCATGTTCACCTCTCGCAGCCGGCCAGGGTTTGCCAAGAAGACCGCTTAGAGCACCGACTGGCGGTCGACAGATGTCTGCCAAAACGTTGGGGGCCCAGAGCGTCAGAGTGAGCTGCACAGCGAAGCACAACGAGGAACAACGAAGCACACAAGACAAGACTTGACGGACCCGTTGTGTAATTTGATCATAGTTGGCTTCGTTTCTTTCGACTCTATATTGACAGACCACAGCCAGTCAATCGCTTGTCCCATTGCAGCAGGTATCTCAAGCCCTCAAAGGCACTACTAGGCAAGTGCCGGTCATTGTCGTAGCCACTTGTTGCCTCCATCTGGACAAGGATGGGACTACTTCAAAGCCATATTAATCAACCATTCATCCAGTACATTGGTGAGTTTCTTCGCCAAGCGCGCGCAGTTCATTGTTGACGAACACTCAATGGCCCGGAGTTTTACATGGAGTTCATGGCCAATCGAACAATGCAAACAGAGTTAGCCCGGCGCGATTGTTGATAGCATTTTCGCTCTCTTTATTTCAGCAAGTAAGTGTCAAAAAGCAGGAATGACTTGTCATGCCTGACATGCGGTAGCACAGATGCTATAGGAAGAGTTAAACAAACGGAATTTCTCCAGCATTCATTCTTGGTCTCGTTGCCCACAACGGGTCCCTGTAGTAGCGCCCGCCTGACGCGCAGACCGCTGCAGTAGATTTCGTGGGCCCGACCTGTGTCTGAGAAGTGAGCTCTCGGCTGGAGCAAGTGGTTGACATGCTTTTGCAGCCTTCTCTCTCTCTCTCTCTCATTCGACAAACTTACCAGCATCATTTCAAGCTTAGCTTTCCGAGGACAGGTCGACGGCGGCTGCTGCCCAAGGCCCTGTAGACGACTTTGTATCAGACAGCGCAAAGGCTGTTGGGTGAGAGAGATGCATATCCAGCCCTACTGACAGATAAATCGAAGTGATCCTCTTGCGGACCCTCCTGCGCTGACAGAGTTTGACTTGCAGGCTTGGACGCTTTAATGCGCTTTACAACTGGGCCTTTTAGAGTGGAGGGTTCTTTGCTTGGCCTCTGCATGTTGGGGCTTCGGGAGGGGGAGGAAGGCTCTTTTGGGTGGCCTTCCCACAGTTTGGGGCGGGCATTGGGAAGTTTGCAGTGGCCTGACGCACCGAAACCGACCGAAACCCCTAACAGATTCAGACCTTCAGGGTTTGTTGGGTGTTCGGGGTTTTGTTTCATCAGGGGTGTTCAAGTGAATGGGCCCTTGAGGGTTTCTACATCTTAGCGCTATTGGGCTTCTATCTTCTCAGGGCATATTTAGGGTTGTGAAGGTTTAGAGCTTCAAATATTTTTGGGGTTTTGGTGGTTAGAATCATTAGATGTTGTTGGGGTTTTTGTGGGTTCGGGTGAAAAGAAAAAGGTGTTGGGGGTAATGTTCGGTCTCGGGAGCTGGAACCAAGGATACCAGCAACGTAGCCAAGAATGCAGGAGACCAACTCAAAAATGATCCGCGCGAAAGAACAGGGGGCTTCGAATGTAGGCATTCTTGTAAAGCATGTGTGATGCAACACCGGGTTCATGGTACTTTGATTGGTGAGTGTATTTAGGGAGACTAAGAAGAAGAAAACCATACACCATTCGGGTGTTCCCCCTTATACTAAGAGTGCTTAGTAGGGCTATGAGGGGGGGTACTACAATCCCGATTAAGGACTGTTAGTCTAAGGGGGAACATCCCAAGTTCACCACGTACAAGGCGGGCCTGTTAGACCTCGCGGCGCGGGGCTTCATCCCCCCCGCAGCGGACTTGACGCCAGCGATGGAGCGAGGCCCGGGGCCTTGGGAATCCACAGGCATCTTTAGGATCAAAGGTGTTGATGCAACATCGTGAGCACAGTGTGCGTGCAGGCTCGTCCAACGCTGGCAGTGAACGTAGTGAGCGACGACAAGCAGAAACGTACATGATAAGGTTAAAGCACATTCTTCAAGATGCACTAACTTTTGCCGTTCTTGATCCTTTGGTTTTCAAGGGCCACTTCGCTCCTTCGAAAGCCAACAGTCTCATAAGCAGCAACGTACAACATCCCTGATTGCAATTGCCTTACCGTGTCTTTCCGTGGACCATTTGAACAATGCTGGGCTTGCACGTGCCAGGCATGCCGTGCCTTATGCAGCGTCCGGCCATGGTCTACGACCAGGAAGGGGTCGGACTTGTTTTTGGTGAGCTTATGGAAACTGGAAGTCGCCAGGCGCTCAAGCAGGAGCGGCATGACCTGAGGTCCGAGGACCTGGCCCAGGCTGGGCGTTGTCGGGGAGTTGAGGGCTGCATGACGGTGCACATGGGACTGAATGGGCTGAAGGTGAGGCTGGATCTGCGAGAGCACGTGTTACGGACTCTTGGCCCTCCGGAGGACTCTTGCGAGGGCATGGGTGAAAGCTGATGTGGACTAGCAAAGATCACAACCCTGTGTTTGCAAACCGATCTCTTGCGGCACCGCTGGCTAACGGGCAGCTGCAATGCTATGCAATTTTGCGCTGCGCAGGATCCTCCCAGCTCAGAAGCTTCACAGGTGCAACCCCAAAATAAACCCTCAACCGTCAACCCTCAACCCTCAACCCTAAACCCTCAACCCTGAACCCTAAACCCTAAACCCTACACACCCATGTGCAGACAGCTTGTGAACAGACGCGAGGCTCGGACTTCCCGGCTGCCTCCACTGCCACTGGGCTGTAGAGAGCTCTTGGTGTCTGGGCTTCGTGTCAGTATCTGCCATGAAAGTAAAAACTGCGAGCTGTATGGTTTAGGGTTTAGGGTTTTGGGTTTACGTAGGGTTTAGGGATCCTGACAGGCCTGCGCTCCCTGCCCCGCCTCAGCCGGCGCCTGGATCCGTGGCGGAGGTCACTCTGGAATGAATAGCCTGACTCAAGCACGGGGTCGAAGATGCCAACAGCTTCCGCTGTTCGTCACTGTAATCACTCGATGTTGTAAAATTGTAACTTCAACATGCCCAACCTCGTGCAACAAGAGATTGCAAGAGGCTTACGGCACTTTCTGCACGGAACTGCTCGACGTGGCTGGAGATGACTCCGCGATTCTCGAGGCGCCGCAAAGGAGAGTGGACCCAAACTTTACGGGCCCGTTGCGGTGTACTCGACGTACTCCTTATAGCTCAGGGTACACAAGACAGGACACATCACTTTCGATCAGCCGCTGTGTCTTACTGATGTTGCAGATGTCAGAAAGTGTGGCCTTGTCGTTGTGCTTGGGATTCCTGGCCGAGGCAGCTGTGGCAGCATTGCCTGCTCCAGGTCCTACAGAGGTGGACGCCACTGATCCATTAGTATCATTATGATTATTATTATTACTATTATGATTACTACTTAAATAATCATTATTACTACTAATATCTTTATTATCTATTCATAGTATTCCATGGTGATGTTTTGGCCTGTCGAGCCAGGCCGAGATCCAGGACGCAGCAGCGTCACGCATAGGCGCCACGTGGCGCATGTCAGCGCAGCGAAGGAGGCAGTTCAGACGGAATGGGCTTGCGAGCAAGGATGAACAAGGGAAGCACGAAGGAAATGAAGACTTGGGGGGCCAGACCTTTAAAGCAGGTATGCGGAGCTGCAGAAAACCCACAGAGCAGCTCGCCGAATCCAGTCTGCGACGGCCTCGGACAGCTTGGAAGCTGGATAGGCCGGGATCATATTGCAGCACCACAGCAAGCGTCCGTCAGCTGTACTCGTTTGTTCAAGTGACTGTCCCGACGTATAGTGCGGTTTTCCCTATCATGCTGTGCACTTCTGTCCGGAACTGTTAGAGGTTGCATCTGACAGATTGTGAGTATCCTCTAGCGACTGTTTCTTCAAGCGGAAACCGCACGGGCCTTTCCTTTCAAAAGCGTTATACATGCAAGGGCCAGTCGGACTTGAGTGATTGGACATTATGCAGTTCTGGTCGACAGCCTGGCACTGAATCCAAGAGCGCGCGACCGCTCTTTTCCTCATGTTGCCAAGGGCTGGCACACCTCTGTGGTGAAAAGTGCCACGCGGCAAGAGCTGATGCGGCGGGAGGACGTCGGAGCCTGCTTCACGAGACAAAGCTTCCCATCCTTCATTGTCAGCAGACGTTCTACCGCTTGTTTCACCAGGAGGAGGAGCGCAAGCTGCAGACGATGATGATGTACCAGATCGGTCAGGACTGGTTCCAGGCCGACCGCTGTCTGATTGCCAAAACGGGGTGGTAGGATTGCAGAGATGCTCTGGTGGTGTGCAGGCCAAAGCCATGCGTCGCGTAGAGGTTCATGCCCCTCGGCTTACTGCGGAGAAAATGCAATGCGTAGCCGCACAGCTCCGCACACCCACCAAGATCTGCTCACTGAGCATTGCAGAGCACCGGCGCCGGCGCATGGATGGCTATCAGGCCAGATCCAGACCCAGGCGTTGCGTCATTTCGGGTCTCCAGGTCTTCACAGCACCGAGGTCCTGCAAGCCACGCAGATCGCCCGCATCTTCCGGCTGGCAGATCCCAAGCGGGACACTGCCCATGTCGCAGTCCAGGTCCCAAAACTAGCGAGTTTCGGGCATGGTGGCTGGTGCAGGACATCATCTTCGTGGCCCCAAAGCACATTCACGAGGCGGAGTCGGAATCCATGTCGGTACCATCCCTGCAATGCGAAACAAAACCATGATTGAGTCACAGCAGGATGTGCTGGACTACTACTCCAAGATCATGCAGTTCCGAGGGATCCAGAATCCCCCGGGTCGCTTTCAGGCGGATTCTGGCGCCTCGTAGCAAAACGCCTCTGTGTGTCCTGGAAGAGTCCTCCAGGAAGCCTTAGTAGAAGCCCTTTGGGATGCCAGGTTGTGGTTCCGGAGAATATTGACCTCAAGGACAAGATGTCTCTTACCCAGGCCCTCACTGTATGCCCAAGCTGTCGGCATGCGAGACCTTGAGTCGATACAAGATGACGATGCCAGGCCCTCCTCTGCTCACCCAAGGCGGGAATCACGGTTGAGATTCTTCACCGAGCTGGGCCCAATTACATCAACAGATACGGCCTTGAGAAGCCAGCAAATAAAGAACGTACACGAGGGGTTTCGATTAGTTCGTCAAGTAGCCTGCCTTTGGCCGACTGCTCTCGCAGCTCCCACTCTTAGCTGGCATTTTAATGTTTCATCACTGTTTCGGGGATGCTTCATCTGCAGCTCATGATCTGTTGCTGATGGCAGGCTCTGAAACGCATTCGAAAGCTTGTCAGCAACCGCATGGCGATGCTTATTCCAGAGGCCTCGGCTCATTTTTAAAGTACGTGGAAGTACGCGGGAGGGTATGGAAAGGACAGGAAGGTAAGAGAAGTGCAGCCAGTCGGTGAAAGAGCCGGGATGTGAGGCGGTTACTCACGTCGAGGCGAAGCTCAGCTGTGCCCTGAGGCCTGGCTGTCAGCATTTCAAGTCCTAACATCGGGACGCATCTTACCTAGCGTCTTCAAAATCCAAAAAATGGCACCGTTTGATGGGTTGAAAGATGTTGAAAGCCCTCCCTGGCAACCGGAGCTGCAGAGGCTGCCTCTCATCGGCCCCAGCTCGAGGAACATGTCGCTTCTGGCATCGAAGTCCAACGCCAAGGTTCCGCAGTGTTGTGGTGCCACAATCTCAGTACACAAGATGCAGCAGCACCCTACTCAATGCCATTGGCGCAGCCCATGACCCCTATCTTGCCAGAAGCTGACGCAGCTGGCCCAGCTGCCGACGGGGCCTTGGGCGGTGGACATCTACGACGAGGACCCGAAGCTGGTGTGCCTTGGCCCCTGAAGTTGCAGCAAGTTGCAGCGCCTTTGAGTCCAGGACGAGTTCTTCACCTGCCTGGCTGGGCTCGTGATCAAGCACCCGAAGGCCCGAAGGTCCACGCATGTGATCCCCGAAGCCCCTGAGCCTGCCTCCAGCTTCGTTCTGTTCCCCACGGACCTCTCCGTCTAACATTTTCAAAATCGCCTTCGCGTGCACCCTGATTCTGTCTCTGAACCACGTATCCTGCATGGCGGCTGCTGCCCAAGTCGGGCGAGCCCAAACATTCAAGTTCCCGGCCCGGGCTCCCGTCACAGGCTTTGTCTAGTGTTGGAGTTGCTATTATCAAAGACAGGGAGTCCCAATGCAGAGCCATTGCCCAAGACTTGTGCTCTCCGGAGGTCCGAACCTGGCTCTTCAAGATCGACGACGAGAGGGGCTCCCGGGGCACGGCCTACATCGACCTCTGCAAGCTGCACCAGGTGCCGGGTGCCCACTTTGAGACGCGCCTTGAGCCCAAACATTTGGGGGGGTCTACGATATCAGGGGGGTTCAGTCCTTCCAACAAGGGATCCTACCATTGGGTCTAATGTTAGGAGTTCCCCTTTTGATCGTAAACCCCCCCAAGATCTGCCCTTAGCCAGGTCCAGCAGAGCGTGCATGCATCGGCTCCGGCCCTGCTAGGCCTGGCGGGGGGGGCGGTTTTGAAGGGTTTTGAGGGGTTTTGAGGGGTTTTGAGGGGTTTTGTTGAAAGGGTTTCTTGCTAGGGTTTGTAGGGTTCATAGGGTTTATAGGGTCATGGGGTTTACGGGATTAAGATACACAAGTGGCAAACTGACATGGTTGCCTGCCTGCTCCGGCTGAGCGTCCGGAGCCCCTGGCCAAGGCATGGCAAATGGCGCTGCAGAGGCTCAAGCCCAAGTTCCTCTTGCGAAGTGCGGCCCGGTTTTCTCAGCGACTCTTCAAGGGTTGCTTGTGGCAGGACGAAGAGCCTGCCATTATTGGCGCTGATGCCAATGAGGCTCCGGCCGATCTCGGGTGGGTGTGACTTGTTTCGAAAAGCGGTTGTATGTTAGGTTCGGGCTGCCCTGCAGCATCACGTGCCCAAGCGAGCTGTCCTTTGCCATCGGCAGGCCTGCTGTGCTTTTCTGGGGCATCCCTTTAAATCTGAATGGTCCTTGTCCCGTGTTCGCTCCTGCGCTTCGGTCTTCACATGAGGGTAGATGTGCGCCTGCTGGCAATGCTTGCGAGCGTAGGTTTATGGCGATTTCGCCTCGTGGCTGGCAGAAGCTTGCCGCATTGGCTGCGTAATCCAGGCGCTGGCGCGCATGTAGGCAGGTTGCGAAATGTCTTCCATGCCATCACTTTCCAGGCTGCACCCGAGAGCATGATCTCTCAGACCAGTGTGCCTGGAGCTCAGCAGTGAGCCAAGATCTCAGCCTTGCTGAGCGTTATACTTGTGTTCTTAGCTGCGAGTTTGCTACCCAGATTAGAGGAGGCCCAAAGGCAAGGGCGTCTTCGTCTCGTTTCGAGCGAATTTCCTGGTGTAGCAAGACAGAAAGACTCTCACGCACGATTGACCCCACGAACCCGCTGCCACAAGAGGAGACATCGTCCGAAATTGGAGGGCCTACCCGTCTCATGCCCTGCATGCGAATCATGCAAATCGAACGTGATCATTTTCTTGATCCGGTAGCAACCCTAAACCAGTAAACCCTAAACCCTAAACCCCAAAGCCTAAAGGTGGCTCGGCTTTCTGGATGGTTTCGAAGAAGTTGCGATGAAAGTGGGGGGTCCTTGCACAGGCATGTCCAAGTTGCCCCAGACGGGGCCATTGACATTCTCGGCACGTCAGAGGCCACGTCCCTAACTTTTTATGAACTCTTCGAAGATTTGAGAGTTGAAAGCATGGGAAGAGTCCTGGAAGGCCATCATGAGCACTCCCTTCGTGCGAGCCGCCTCATGGTACCCGCACTCGCGAGGGAGCTTCGAGGCGGTGTTGGGTGGCGGTAGGATCCCCTTATAACAGGGACCCCAATAAGGTACCCCTTATATCGCAAACCCCCATGTTTGACCGAACAGACCAGCAGGTCCTTCAGGAAGTGGGGTATCGACTTGGCCGCTGCCTCGCAGCCAAGGCGAGTAGCGTTTCAAGCCAGTCTCCTGCTGTTCCATGCTTTTGTCGAGTTCTGTGCCCGTGGTATGATGTGCTTAGTCAGACTGAAGTGCAGTCGGCAAGAACTGGATATCATGTCTACCAGAGTGCTTCGCTGCAACGGCAGTCGCTGAAGCAACGTGACATGGCAGGGTTTCATGGGCTTCGCATCAGCCGTTGCCAAGCTGCACTTCAGGGTTGACGTCTTGTTTGCTTGTGTCAGACATCGTCGCCTCAGGACGTGGTGTTCTTTGAAAATCCTGACTTCGATGCCACCGAGCTGGTGTCGGACCGGGATGGGAAGCTCAAAAGTGGCAGCGGCACAGCCTTAAGCAGTCCTTGCCCTCGGGGAGGAACAGCGCGAGTCGACACCTGCAATCATCGGCAGCGACACGCCGGTCAACCCCGAGGAGCCTGCGCGGCGTCGATCCTCACCAGGGGCTTAAGGGCCTGTGTTTCAAGTCCGAGCCCGCGTGCCGCGCCAGGATCTGATGTTTGGCAACCTCCGGTCCGACACTTCAAAGGATTTCTTTGCAATTCGCACGCATTCTCTTTGCGCTCGTTGCCTCTCCGTTCCGTTCTCTGTTCTTCTACCTCGTTTCGTTGGAGCTTCTGTGCAAAGGAGTGAATTGGCACCGGTGAGTAGCTGTGAAGGGTCGTGATGAACTGTGCAAGGTCACCATCTCCTGACATCAGCGTGGATAACGGCGACTTCCAGCCGTCTAAGACTTAAATTGCACTATCTTGTTCCACGATTTCCCACGACATCTTGCGTCCCCAATCAGTTTTGAAGTATTTTTTGAGCTACTCTTGAACTACTTATGAACTACTTTGGACCAACTCGAACAGAAACAAGGTCACATGCTCTCCTTTAGCTGCCTTTTTTGCTCGCCCAAGGTCGGCAGACCTGCCGGAAAGCCGGCAGGCGGATTACAACGCCGCGCTTCAGGTTCACGAGGACAATGGTGAAAGGCACAAGACATTTGTATACATAATATATATATATATATATATATAGATGTACAGAGAGTTATAATGTAGTCTATAAGATACATAGTATAATTTGATATAACAGATATAGAAATAAAGAATCGAAAATGTATGTATATATATATATATATATATATGCAGCATATCAGAAACCCTCATGCGGCTTCTGTGGCATTCCAGGAACAGATGAAGCGGGAACAGCAGTCCTTCGATCCCGTGTGTGTCTCAGTGTTGCATTTGAGCAACTCCGGGACAGTCCTGGCAATTCTTGACTTCCACGATACTGTGCGTTCTTACAAGTGTGATCGGTGAGCAGCCAAGTTCTTGTGTGTGCTACCTCCAAAGTATCTTGCCCACCGTTACATCCTGGCATACTTGTGAAAGCAGAGATTGCGCTTTTCTTTTTAAGGCTTAGGTTTTTGTCTGTATGTCATTCAGTCCCTCTCTCTCTCTCTCTCCCCCTCTATCTCTCTCCCTCTCAGGGACGAGTGGTGCAGGCATTGATGCGCGAGCAAACCCGCCCTCCGCACCCCTCCACGCCCAGCGCCCTTGCTCAGATCAGGACAGCCAGCGTGAAGCAAGGCATGTATAATATAATATACTGCAATATAATATGATATCATATCATATAATTTAATCGAAAATATTTTATGATATTATATAATATTATATGATAATTATAAGTGACCCAAAATGAGGTGCAAAAACGGCAGCAAACGGCTGTGAGTCTCAAATGACCTCCGTACTTCGAGTGTCGCGCACGCATTGACCGCAACACCAAGCCGGTGCAATGACGTGGGACCTGGGTAGTCAAAGTAGTCTGTTGAATCTGCGTGCATCTGCTCCACTGACTGGCTGTGTGCTGCTGTTGGCTGGGGCAGAGTTACGCGACAAGCACAGTTAGCCAAGCGATAACATGTCTTTGCCGGCCACTTTTCACCCTCGCAGAGTCAGTGGCCACCCGCACAGGTCAGCCTCATGTTGGGCGGGTCTGAGCAGGCGTGGAGGGTGGAGCGAGGCTCGTAGAGGCTCGATTGCGAGTTGTGTCAGGGTGCTGGCTCGATGTTGAGCCCTTTCGCCTGCGCGGACCCTGAATTCGGCAGTCGTTTTACCAGTTTTACCTAAAGGTTTCGAAGAGGGTTTTCCGATGTCGGATGTTCTGACGTTCCGGTACTGTGAAGCAACCTGAGGCTGGGTCGTCGACGTGGATGCACGTCTTACGGACGAGGCTGTCCGACAGTGCCCCTACTCCCAACTGCTAAAGTCGTTGCGTTTCTTACATGTGACCAGCAGACATTGCGGGAGAGTGTTTCGGGGGGTCGTTGCGTTTGGAGTGTCAAGTGTTGTGAAGCCTTGTGCCAGCAGGCCGCTATGCTGTTCCCGCTGAAATTCATTGCTCAGGCCCAGTTTCTGCATATGTGTATTCGTTGCAGTCGCAGAATACAAACCCTGACTGAGGTGAAGCAAGATCCGGCGACCGGACTCATGCAGCTCACCTCAGAGGCCAAAGCTTGGGGTGGCAACAGCGTGCACTGTGTGGATCGGGATGTTACCCCTTGTACTGCCCATAACAGAGATTATAGTACCCCCTAAAAGGATCCCTTATGAAGGACTGTTTGTGTGAGGGGGGAACATCCAACTGTATGGACATCTCTGGAAACTGCGCAGGCGCAGGATGGAGGTGCCAAGGCCCATCAAGATCTTACGGAGGACCCTCGGTGGATTGACAGCCACAGTCAGGGTCCTGGCATGCACTGTGGCACGGGCTTGTGTGAGCCTTCTGCAGGAGGAACAGCAATTGCGCTCACAGCGCTGGGCCATGGTGAACCACGCCACGCTCCCGGCCCTGCAACCAACTTCTTAACTGCAACGCGTCATAAAGCCGGCACCCTTCCCCTGCGTGACATTGTGAGAGCATGTCTGCAGGTCGCATTGGCACCGCAGCTGGAGAAGATGAGTCATCAGGTGCTGTTTCAGGCCCTGGGATCCTATGGGTCTAACAACGTCTGCCCTGAAAGGCAAAGGGGGGCAGTTCCGGAGACCACTCAGCTCTGAACCCTCAGCTTACACCTCCTCGTCTCCCCGTGCGCTCATGGACACCTTGTCATGACCTTCAATATGGGTGTTTCCGCAAATAGGGGTACCCTTTTGGGGGTCCCTTTTCAGGGGATGCTCTTCTGTTTGGGGATTAAAGCCTTATTCTGGGAAATACCCATGAAGTTCAATGGATCTTCACGCTGCTAGGGGCCACTCGCGGGACTTGGTGTGGCCTTCTTGGGTCAACTGGGCCGTGCACAAGTCGGTGCTTTTGTCCGAGTGCTGTCGGGGCCGATGTCGGGTGCTTGTGTGTCTTCCGTGAAACCGTTCGACTCAGTGTGGTCCTTCTGGCATGTTCGGGCATTCTCCGGCCTCCAGGTAGATGTCGAACCTTACATGCGTCCAGGATCGTCCAGGTCTGTCTCGGCCTGTCTTTGTTCAACGGCGGCCAGGAGATGTTCAGAGCGCATGCTGCACAAACGCAGAGCGAATGGGTCTCTACCAGTGCTTGCTGTCATAAGATCTTGGCACAACCTTGTCACTGTTGCAGCGCATGGGGACGGTGTGAAGATTGCAAGTGTGCGCAGATGCCTGATTTGCTTCATCTGCTTCATCTGCTTCATTGCATCTGCAAGGCAGCCAAGATGCGTGGTGTGTCCTTTGACCTGTTCCACAACGTCGGGTGCGTCTTCACGTCCCCATGCCGCAGCTTAATCCAGTTGAGATTGCTTCAGGGCAAGGTTTCAGGCCGCGCAACCAGGCCGATAGTCAGTTGCATGCAACGAACGCAGATTGTTGCCCAGGTTTCTGGACGTGGTTCACAAGCTGTTTTCCCTCATGGTTGTGGACAAGACGCCGGAGCAATGCGCAAAGAGCGGAGCTTGGCCCCACTTCTGCACACCAGTGAACTCCTCAGTAGCACCTGCGCTTAGGAAAATGTCCGCAGCTCTTTCGGCCATTGCGGAAGGCCAACCCAATGTCCTCAGGTCTCGACATAGGTGGCCAGGAGATACGACGTTTGTAATTTGGATGAGCTCTCCAGCTTTGCATGTGATATGTAGCAGTGCTCGGCTGCTGTGACATTCGAAGCTTTTCCAAACACGCTTGGGATGACGAGTCCTTTGCTTTGGTTCGGTGAACCATCTTGCACAGAACTCCATTCGCCAAAACAGGGGATGATTTGACAACACATTTTAATTTTAGGCCACCCTAAGCCATTATATATATATATATATATATGCCCACCCCCCCATATATATCATTCTTTTCAAGGCATAAAAAAAGTTTAGTTTTCATAGGCCCCGCAAACTTAGCCTAGAAATGATTTCAGGCCTAGCGGCACGGGCCGGCCCCCGCCCCCCAAAGCACGAAACCTTGAACCTTGGCACTGTCTTCTCTTTCCCGTGTCTTTGTCCTCTCCTTCTCTCTGTCTCTCTTTCTCCTGCCTTCGCCCACCCCTCCCTCCCCCCCCGGCCCGCGCGCGCGCGCGCGCGCGCGCGCGCGCGCACCCGCATCAGGAGCATCAGTGGGGTTGGTTTGGGGGCCTTAAAAGCATTCTATGCATGCGTTTTGCCTTCGAAAAACCTTCAGAAAACGCTGTAAACACGTGTTTTTGGGCTTGGGAAGCCTTTTGGGACCCAGGAAAGGGAGCATCATGAGCATCAGCGGCCTCCCCCAGGCCATCCAAAACCCCCTTAAACACGCCGATTGTATGTGCTTCAACGCTTGCGTGCCCACGAAACCCCCAAAAGCAAGACCCCGAATGCCCTTAAGGGCATTCGGGGTCCTGCTGTTCGGGTGTTTTCTAGGCACGAAGCCGTTCGAGCGCGTAAAATGAGCGATTTTAGGGGCGTTTTTACGTGGACCCACAAAACACTCGGTATTTACGAGGTTTTCTGCTGTTGGAACACCCCCCCAAACCGAGCATCATGAGCATCAGCTGGGTCTCTGGGCCGTGGGCCCGGACCCCCCCACGAAGTCCCTGAGAAGCGATGGCTCGATGATGCGCCCGGACCCCGCGCATCAGCAGCATCAGCAGACCCCCCCCCGGACGTGGGTTTCGATGATGCGCACTTTGGGGGCGGGTCAAGGGCAACAGGGGTGGGGGTCGGAGGCACGCGTGAAAATCCTCATAAAAACACGGTATTTGCGGTGATTTCAGCGTTTTTCAGCGTTTTTTATTGCCTTGGGCCCGCGGGCCAGGGCTGCTGATGCTCATGATGCTCGCCTGGTTTTGGGCTTCCGGTACCCCCCCCAAACCTTGAAAAACGTGGTTTCGGCCTGGCGCGCGCCCCATGTGAAAAGCTAGGGCCGATGATGCGCGCCCGTGAGGGTTTAATGGGGTGCTGCGGGTGTTTTGTGGCCTCGGTTTTTCGTGAAAACCCATGATTTTTACGAGGTTTTCGTGCTTTTCGCACCACCGCGTGTTGCGTCCCCTTGGATGCCGTTTTGGAGGCCTCCCGAAGGGCCCCGCGCGAATTTGAAGCAATTTTGGGCGGGGTCGGCGGCTTGGGCGCTCGCCCCTTAAAGCTAGCGCTTTAGTGCGACGCGGGCTCCGCCCTGGACCACGGGCGGCGCGGGGGCCGGATTTAAGAGCCTCCGGCTCAAGCCGCCGACCCCGCTGGAGCATAGTTGAAAGGTTTAAACGCGCTCGTCAGCTCAAAGGATGCCAAAATTGATTTGGGCCTCTGTGAGACGTGGGGGGTGTGTGGGGGGGTGTGGGGGTGGGTAGGGGAAGGGGGGTAGGGGGGAGGTGGGGGTGGGGGTTTGGGGGGCTTTCCCTCCCTCCCCCCCCCCCTCCCCCCCCCCTCCCCCCCCCTCCCCCCCCCCCCCCGCCTCCCCCCCACTACCCATCCTGCCCTCTCCGGTTGTTGAATTGATGGGGCTGCCCTCGCTCCTGTTGGGGTCCTGGTGCTACCCCCTACCCCCCCCCAACGCTTCACAAAGGCTCAAGCAAATCAACTTTTAGCATCCTTTGAGCTGACGAGCGCGTTTAAACCTTTCAACTATGCTCCAGCGGGGTCGGCGGCTTGAGCCGGAGGCTCTTAGATTTTTTCACCTCCTTTTCCCATCCAACACGCCGCCAGGGTCGGCGGATTCCAGATATCATGAGCAACATCGTCAGCAATGCAATTCCAAGTCTGGAGTGTCTTGGAATCCGCAGGTGTTGTAAACCCTGAATCGGATCCGTGGGGATGCCCGGAGCATCAACATTGCTTTGCATCAGTGTGGAGCTGCTTTTTTCATGGCCTACAGGCCCCGGAACCCTAAACCTTAAACCCTAAAGCCTAAACCCAAAAGTGCAGCTTTTCGCAGGGCCGAAGGGAGCGCCGGGTGCCGGCACCTTGGAGGTACTGAACAAACGTGAATAACAGATATGCTCAACAGTCTTGTCAGTGTTTGTGATCAGAATCTGTTCACAGGGCCACTTGTGAATCACAAGCCGATTCTGGGGGTTCTGCTGGTTATTTCCGTGACTTTTTTTATTTGTGAGGCACGAAGCCCATGAAGTGTTCCGATTGGGATGGGATTGCGTGGGCCAAGCCCGGAGACCTCCATGAATCGTTAATGCATCAGTCTGGTAGTAACTACATGTTTTTGAACTCTTGTGGCTCAGGCCAAGTCTTCTGCCAAGCAGAAGATTGGCGGGCTCCCTGCTGAAGCCTGGAGCTTGAATGAAGTCCGTGACACCTTGTTTCAAGTGAGCTCTTTCGGTCCCGACCTATGCCTGTACCAAGGCAACGGACCAGCTTAGCATTGCAGATGTGCAGATGGCCTTGCGGGCTCGGATCTGAGAGCATCTGCTACCTCGACGAGGGTCTCTGTATCGGCTACCCCTCAAGCCCGGTGGCCGTGTGCTAGAGAGGAGATGAAAGAGGTCGTGAGGACAAACGCAGTTTCCTCTGTAATGTGCTGCCATCTGCTCGCAGACAATGCGTTGTCAAACCTCGGCATGTCTTCCAGCTTCAAGTTCAGCTTTTGGTGCAATGCTTGCCCTTGGAGTACGCGGCGGGTTTGCGAGCCAAGCATTCACTTCAGGTTTGCTTGAAACGGTTCACGGAAAGGTGGCGTGCTGAGCTTTGTCAGGTCCAGACAAGTGGCACGTACCTTGGCACGTCGTAGAGCCGCTGCGCATCCTCTGCTCAGGAAGTGAGGCACTCCGTGGAGCCGTGAGCCACCAGTTTTTTTTGGGGGGTACGCAGTGTAGAAACATGCCATAAGGGCCATAAGAGGTTTTGAACATCTTCCAGAAGAACCATCGGGCAAGGCAACTAGTGAAGCACAACACATTCGACACGATTCGAGGCGTTTCACCGCAGTAGTCGCGCAACGAAACACCGAAAGGTGACGTCAAGTCGCAGGGCTTGAGTGGCCCAGCCCAGCAATGAGAGGAATGGTCTCGTGTGCACAAAGCTGAACACCACTGGTTGGCGCCAACCAGTGAAGGCTTTCCTTGTCAAGATGGGACATGCAGGGAATTCATCCTGCGCACGAGTGTGAAGCTGCGCTGCTCGTGGGATATGGGAGTTTTCCGAACATCGGGGTACCCTTTTTTGGGGTTCCCTTCAAGGGGATGTATTCGGGGTATAAAAGGGGTACCCCTATTCTGGGAAATACCCATATCGCAGGGAGGGGTCTGAAAATGGACCCGGGAGCAGGTGAGAAAGCGCGCAGCACGATGAAAGAAGCAGTCTAGCGCAGCTTCTGATGCTGCGGGAGGGCCAGGAAGACCCTCGGGTTGAGTCACGACTCTCAGATTTATTCGGAATTTCACCCGAACAGCCGTTTGGCATCTTTAAAAGCAGTTGGTCTTTCCGAGAAGAGTGTTGCCGCACCACCCCAAAGAAGTCGGAGAGCAGAAGCCGTTGTTGGACCCAACAGCTCAACAGTACTCACAGCTGTTCCGACCAGACGTGGTGAGATTGTCAAGATTCCAATTCCGCCAGTTCAGAAGCGCTCTGAATGCCATGGCGGCAGACCCCATACCAGTGAATCCACAGGCGCAATCGGCGGCTCTCTGCAGTTAGGTTTGAGAACCTCGTTTTAGTTTGACCAGTGCATCTCTGCCGGTTTGGCGGGCGCCAGGCGATGGACGTGCGAATCCTGCAATCCATTCCAACTCCGGTGGCGGACTCGCTGCTGTCACGGGGGCGCAAGACTGCAGCAGACGTCCTCTCTCGGCCGGAAGCTCTAACAGAGGCAGCCCAGCTGTGCTGAATCCAAGTAAGGCGGTGAAGGATCCCAGCATAGAGTCATAGAGGATCGCATGCAAGGTCGTGTTCCAGTGCAATCTGAACATAAGCTTAAACGAAAAGACGCTGGGAGACTTGAAGGTCCTGGCACAGCACCATGTTGCGGACCCCGAGCTCCGCACCAGCTCCATGCTGGCGGCGTGCCGCCAAGAGGCGGCTGCCAAGGATGCAGCTTGACTGCACATTGGCTCTTGTGTAGCTCTATGGCTTAGGATGCCCCTTAGCTGCCGCATGTTTCCTCAGCCATCAGCCAAGATCATTTTAAATCGCGATTCCCCCCTCCCCCCTCCCCCACATGTAAACAGCCCGGGTGAATGAAGCTGAATGTGGGCTTGTTGGCTTTTGGGGGGGGTTAGTTGTGACAGTCTTAAGACATTGTGACCAATCGCGCGACTGGTACAGGGTCCTGAGGGCAGATAGGGGGACGGGGGATGGAGCTTTTCATCGGCTCAAGGCCTGGCACTCTGCCGATTCCGCGCTCTCACTCCTTCAGAAGGGCAAGGCCACGCAGCCCCTGAGGCTGCCTTGTGCAGGCCTGCTGAGAACAGAAGAGACAGGGAGATCAGAGGGCAGGTGGGTGGGGATCACGAATGCTGCTCCCTGAGTGCAGTACTGGTGCAGTCTTGAACTGTCCGCACGTTTGCCTTGCTTTCCCTTCGGCCAGCATCGCACACTGACATAGACCGCTGACAGCTGCGAATGATTCCGGCCTTGCATTGTGCTCTCAGGCAGGCTGGCACATTTGGTACTCTGTAGCTCCGCACGGCTTTAAAGTAGTCTTCCCTTGCCATCATGGCCTACCGCTCTCCTCTGGTGCTGTGCCTGGTGGCCGCCGCTGTGTTGCTGCTTGCGCCTCAGGCCTTTGTCCCATCACCAAGGAGCCAGACTGCAGGAACTGCGCTGGCTGCAGGAGCAGCTGCAGGTGCCATTGCAGTGCCAGCTTGGGCCTACGACCAGCAGATGATGGATGCTCAGATGCTGCTTGCCCGCGTTCCTGGCGGAAAGCGCACTCAGGAGCTTGGCCTCGTGATCCCTATGGCCGACGAGGATGGCCTGACTGATGGGCAGGTGGCCGGCCTGTTTGTCATTGCGCTCGTGGTCTTCATCTCCGCCATGGACCTGGCCAAGACGATGTACAACGGCATCAACCCTGCCAAGTTCAAGACCTCCAAGGGCAAGGGCTACATCAGCCCCCTGGTGAAGCGTTACATCGAGAACGGCTTCTAAGTGTGTACATGCATCGTCGTTCTGCCAGTCTGCGTGAAGCTTTTTTTAAAAAAGAGCACTGCAGTCAGACAAGAGAAGCCTGTGTACGGCGCCGTTTACAGAAAGTAGATCTTCATCGTGACACATGGTGTCTGCTACTGCCGAGTGAAAAAGCAGCGAGCCATTGCGCTGTGCCTGAGATCAGATACCATGAAACCAGCACGACGTCGCTGTGATGTCATCTGACATCTGACCTAACGATTGTTGTGACGTGTCATGTATGCCTGCATGCATGCTTGCCCAGGTTTTGTGTGCTCAGGCCAGCTAGTACATCCAGCACGTCTGCATAAAGTAGTCTGTCTTCCTTTGCCATCATGGCCTACCGCTCTCCTCTGGTGCTGTGCCTGGTGGCCGCCGCTGTGTTGCTGCTTGCGCCTCAGGCCTTTGTCCCATCACCAAGGAGCCAGACTGCAGGAACTGCGCTGGCTGCAGGAGCAGCTGCAGGTGCCATTGCAGTGCCAGCTTGGGCCTACGACCAGCAGATGATGGATGCTCAGATGCTGCTTGCCCGCGTTCCTGGCGGAAAGCGCACTCAGGAGCTTGGCCTCGTGATCCCTATGGCCGACGAGGATGGCCTGACTGATGGGCAGGTGGCCGGCCTGTTTGTCATTGCGCTCGTGGTCTTCATCTCCGCCATGGACCTGGCAAAGACGATGTACAACGGCATCAACCCTGCCAAGTTCAAGACCTCCAAGGGCAAGGGCTACATCAGCCCCCTGGTGAAGCGTTACATCGAGAACGGCTTCTAAGCGTGCTGCCAGTCTCAAGCTTTTTCAACGACCTGCAGCTCGAACTGCATCCAAAAAGTCGGCAGTGCATGAGCAGCGTTTGCCGCTGCGCATTTCGAGTTTGTGGTTGATTGAAGAGCCTTTGCAGAGGGAGAGAGAGAGAGAGAGTGAGTGAAAAGACGTAATCAGAAAGAGAACAAGCACCAGTCAGTGCGCGGCCAGGCCTGAATGGGCTCCTGGGCAGCGCCCTACAGGGTGGGGGTACGTTGCTCGAGGCGGGAACTGAGCGGAGTGCCACATATGCAACCTCAGCGCACCGTCACAACCGCAGCCGCCACTAAGCTTCCCTCGACGCGGTACCCGATATGAATATGAGTAATGTGTCGCACGAAGAAGCCATGCGCAACTTTACCCGCACCACATGGTCCTGCTGGACTTTTGCCCCCCTTCCATCCACCAATCCACCTGCTCCGTTGCAATCTAATGTCGGCCTCCGGCCAGTCATCCAATCTCCCATGAAGAGAAGCAGCATGCTCCGGATATGGTCCTCACAACAATGGGGAAGGTCTGTAGACCACGCTGCTGGTATCCCTGACACCCAACTGCAGGTCCTGAATCCAGCACATCGGACCTGTCAGAACTCCTGTCACTCATGGAAAAAGCCCCAATGGCAGAACCGAAGCCTTCCGGTTGGTCCCGAGCCTACAATGCAAGCGCTCGTAAAACATCGTACAAGAGGATGTAGTTCATAGTTGCAGAAAGGGCGCTGATATCATAGTAGGCCACTAGTGTGTGAAACGGTTTTCCACCAACAGTATGTGGGACCACAGACGCAAGACTGTCCCAGTAGCTGCCCTTTCCTTGTCAGCTTAAATATGTCAGCGAGGACTCCAGACGCTCGCAATCACATGGGTTTGGCTTTTGTTAACCAGCACACAAATCTAGTCCAAAAACCATCTGCGCACATCTGATGTTTCGAGCCATGTTTCGAAGCATGCAAAATCATGCCAGCGTAGACACCCAACAGTGAGAGACCACATGGGGCTCCAGACACCAAGAACCACAATGACGAGCAGCTCCAGCAGCAGAGCGCGAGGAGACCAGCACAGGCTCTGCAGCTCTTTCAACAACATCAGGCTCTGCAGCTGCGCGTCCGTTTAGTGGGATGTTCCCTCTTATACCAACAGTCCTGAATAAGGATGAAAATAGTTTCATAGGGGGTACCATAATCCCTATTAAGGACTGATGGTCTAGGGGGAGCATTCCAATCAATACACAAATGGACAAAAGTACACTTCATGGGGTCACCATGACTTTGATGCCACGGGAGCTCGTTTCGTCCTCGGCATATCACCTTTGTGCCACAACAGCCGACTTTCGAGCCACTGGGTGCACCACCAAATGCGAAACTGTCGTCGCTTTTGGTCGTATGGGTTCGCCATGTCGTCGCTTTTTGCAATGCGAAACTGTCGCTGTTGGACGTCGGGGTTCGCCAAGTGTGAAACTGTGTGCTTTTGGATGTTTGGGTTCGCCAAATGCGAAACTGTTGTCGCTTTTGGGCGTCTTTGGATTTCGGGATGTTACGTCCAACAGCAACGGCAGTTGTGAGGATGGCGACGTCGATGAGTGCGCGCAGCGAACCCATCCGACGCCCCAAAGCCATTTTCAGGAGGCGGAGCGATGCAAGCCTCAAACAGTGCATGTGATCTAGGCGAAATGCCACTAAATGCGCAAGAGGACTAGGCGGGAGCGCGATTCCCTCCACGAAGCCGAAATCATGGAGTTTGGGATGTTTCAAGGCCCCGAAAAATCCGTGTCCACCTCCTGTGCTCTGGACAGAATGCGATCTTCCAGAAAATGCGACTTCCCCACTCTTCCCAGCATACTCGCCAGGAGGTTGTTGCGTCCAGTTCACCAGCTCGTCTTGCTTTGAGAGTATCGTACGTCACGAAAGTCCAGCTTTCGCCCTCAACTGTTGCAGCTTGATTCGAGGCAGCGTCTTTGTCAACAAATCTGCCACACGTGATTCGCCAGATATATATGGCAGGAGAGGCTATTGGCTCTTGTTTCATTCGTATCGTGGGCGTTTTGTGGGCGTTCCTCGGGGGCTTCGGCGCTTTGCGGGCCCCGCGCGTGCAACTCTATGTAGCTGTCTGGCTTTCTAGTGCTGGCACGAATAGTTAGGTGCTTCAGCCAGTAAGCCACCCAAAGCACTGGTTCAACTTTTCATGGTTCAGTTGTACTTTTGTGTGGGCACAAAAACGATTGGCTTAATGGTTCCGGGGCTTAAGTCGCGCGACAGTTTAATCATACTGTTAAGCGTGCAGTCAGTATTTCGGCAGGAGCAACACAGGCTTGGTTCAAGAGTTCAATTGTGTAATTATTGATGAAACGGCTCACTGGTTTACTGGCATGATGGCTTAGTGGTTTCAGGCTGCATGTGAAACGCGAAAATACTGGAACCCATCTAGACGGAGACCGGAATACATTTTGCGAGAGACCCTTTTACTCTGGTGAGCTTTCTCCACGAAGCGACACTTGCCCACGGCCTCGGAGCTTGAGGGTTCTCTCTTTGGGCCCTGAGTATGCTAATTGACTGGTTTAATTTTAACGCTACGCGACCCGCCTCGGCCTGAGCTTCTGTAACAAGGACAACCAGGGGGCTGGAGGGGGGGTGGGGCGGGGGGCAGGGGAGGGGGGGGGGCAGGAGGTGGGGTGCCTGCTTTGTGCTACCCAGACAGACACCTACGGCCCAAGGCCTCGGCGGATTGCGATTGTTTCATGTCTTTATCTCTCTGTCTCTGTGCCTATAGCCGTCTCAGTCGCTGTCTCCGTCTGCATCCCTGTCTCTGCCTCTGCCTCTGTCTCCGTCTCTGTCTCTCCTTCCGTCTTTCGCACAGGGTTCGCTTTGAAACCATTTGCGCGTCCATAGTCGGCGTACATCCGCATTGGTTTTGTGCTTCAACATCGGAGAGAGTAGAATGCTTTACTCCTTCCTCATCAAGAGGTTGCACGTAGAGGTTTCCACCTGGCTTGATTCTCACCGGCCGTGCCCCCTCAAGTCTTCGAACAATTCCGAGTAGGACCAGCCCAAACAAACGGAAGTGCAGATAAGTACAAGACTTTGCTAGGTTTGCGGACTTCCGGGCAGTGGCAAGACGCAGTTCTGCTTGCCCCTCGGCCAAGAGCTTTGTTGGTGCCTCTACTTCCCACTCGCACCCGATGCAGTTTGGATCCTTCATTAGAAGGACACCTTTCGCTGGACCTTTAACCAAACTGTAAGGACATTGTCAGGCTTCACATGGAGACGTTGTTTTGCAGGCAGCTGTGCGCTGCAGCGCAGATCTCGCAGCGCCAGTCTCAACTCCACAGAACCGACAGCGATTGCAAGTTGCAGTGAAAGACGAGGCTGCCCGAAATTTGCTCACGTGCCCCAGCGGTGACAGGCCACTGCCTGGGTTTCCGGACTCGCTAGCCGAGGCGGTGCCTTGGGGCCTTTGCATCCCCTCTCTTTTGGTGCATTGAGAGAGCCCTTCCATCCTTGACAGGCTGTGTATGTAGACACCGAGGGGTCTTTCGTGCCGGAGAGATACATGCAGGCGGATTGCCAATGAGCTCTCTTTAAGTGGTACGGTTTTGTCCTGAACCTTTGCGGACAACTGTGCTCAGAGCATCGCAGCCGTTAGGTTTGTGAAGCCCTGCTGTCCGAGACAAGGCCAAAGTCTTAACAGGGGCTTCCCCTAGAGTCTTGGGCATCGCACTAGCTGGACTGGAGAGGGCCGCCGCCAGACAATCACAGGCCGACTCTGGATGCAGCCTCAGCAGCGCGGCTGCTGGAGGCAGAAGCATGCTTAATGGCATGCTCAATGTGCCTCATGTCTAAGTGCAAGCGATTGAGAACAGTGCGTACTACCAATATGCTGTGATCTTCTGTCTGCGTAGGCTGCTATGCGACGACTGCACGTTTGCCGAGCGGTGCCTCCATGCAATCAAGCAGCGTGCGTTTTTGGAGCACAGCAAAGCACAGCAAAGCGTCAACGTGTCAACTGCAAGTGACGAGCTGCCAAGTACGATGCGACAGAGCTGTTCTCCACCATCAAGCAGCTCAGCAGTTTCATCAAGGCCCAAAGGGCAAGGTCAATCATTGTAGAAGCTCTTTCTTGTCACCTCTTGACATGAAGTGTTGCACTGGACCTTCGAGCCGGCTGCGGGCTTTGCCATATTTTGCCTGAAACAGTTTATTTAGGGGTTTAGGGTTTAGGGGTTTAGGCGGTTTAGGCGGTTTAGGGGTTTAGGGGTTTAGGGTTTAGGGGTTTAGGGACTTGGAGACTCAGCAGACCTCAGCACTTTGTTTTCAGGGACGGCCTCGTGTTCGTGCCCTGGTTGTGGATTCCATCGCCTTCAGCTTCCGCCACGCGGCCTGGCCTTTAAAGGGAGTTCTTCAACGACTGCTCTTTGTCCTTGCCTTTGTGCCATGTCACGCATCTGGCACGTGTCTGAGTGCCCCCCCCACAGGAGCTGATGGACAACACTGCGCAGCGTGCCAGGGTGCGCTTTGTCAGGAGCATTGTGTGTCACACGCATTCTGTTCGCAACGCTTGCAAGAGTCAGTTAGGCTTTTGGCCTGCACCTGCCGCCGCACGAGAAAACGCAAGCTGCCTCGCAATCCTGGCTCAAAACATAGTTCTTCTTCTCCTGTGGAGCCAATAGCATTGGCGCCGCGCCTCCGCTGCAGGAGCTTCAGTGAAGAGTTCAGGCTTCAAAGGGCTGTGCTGTTCCTCGCTCGGATCTCTTTGCCTGGACTCGAAAAGAATCTCACCCCCGGGTTCCCGCAAAGACTCCCACAGAGTATCCATGCAGTGCGCACTCCCCAGCCCGGAGAAGAATCCAGGTGGGATGTCCGAAGTCAGCCTTTTTTTTTGTTGCGCCTCGCGCATGCCTTTGTCTGTGTGTGTGTGTGTGTCTTCGCCGAGTCTGAGTCATGAGTTTGGAAGCACGGCACTCAGCTGAGGCATGGGCTCATGCAGCATTTGGAGCTGGTCCTCCAGGACACCCCAGAACAGTAAAGCTCATAGAATTTTGGGGTACATTAGTACCCCTATTTTCCGACATGCTCATGTGAAGCGTTTTCTGGTGTGTACCTTCGGGGTTGCAAGCAGGCAGTGTGCATTGCTAGTCGGGTTGCTGCTCTTGGCCAGGACCAGGACAGCTTTTGCAAAGGAATCCGACGCTCGGCGGACCATGCAAAAGCTGGTAGGTGCCATCTTCCTTGTATTTGGGGGTTATTTAGGGTTGAGGGTTAAGGGTTTAGGATGCCTGGCCAGCCAAGGTGATTCTAGAGAAAGATGTTTGGAAGCGGCTGGGCCAAAACAAGCATGTGCGCACAGTCCGCCATAGCGTCGCAGAGCGGCGCCCATTGCTTCTTGTCGCGCTGATTTGATCATACTGCTGGTACAGCAAGAGGCCCGTGATTGCTAGGACATTTTCAGTGTCCTTATTTCAAAATATTCCTGATATTATTATACCTGCAATTGGTTATATTGCAGGCATGCAAGAGGGTGTGTCCGGTGTGCCCAACGCCTGAGGTAGCGAGCACCTGCGCGACTGACTTCGAAGCGATCCAGCCTGCCGGAGCCCCAAAAGTATCTGGTCGCCTCGGTCATGTAGGTCTTAGATTTGCTGTCGAAAGACCTCAAATGTCAAATTATTCTCAGGGCACCGTGCTCCGCATAAGAGATGCAACTGCTGTGTTGGTGCTGGGCATGATTGGCTACGAGCCACTCCTCGGTGCGCCGAGCCTGAAAGGCTGTGCCGCGCAGCCTGCTAGAGCCACGGTGGACCTCAGGCACCCTCGTGTGCTGTAGGATCTAGTTGATTTGAGGAGTTGGAAGTGTTGGGGGGGCAGCTTGTGGCTAGATGATCATTCTCAACTGCAGCCCTGCGGCCAGATTTCGAGAGCTTTGGTTGGCAAAGCATTCCCCCGATTGATCCGGTGCGTTTTTCGCCATGCTGGCATGTTTACCAGCTTGTGTGGAGCGAGAGCGAGAGCGAGAGCGCGAGCGAAAGCGAGAGACAGAGAGAGAGAGAGAGAGAGAGAGACGTAGCCATTTTGGCTCAAGTCTCGGGGGGAAACCCGCCCTCCCTTCGGGGCTTGAGCCCGCCGCGCCGCTTCCAGCAAGTTTCCCAGGCAGGGGCGTCCCTATATCCCTTAGGTTGGGGGCTGAGTTCGGGGCGACAAATCGTGACAGTTGTCCTGGACTTCAGGTGGTGAGAGGGCTGACCTTAAGCAACGACCCCTGCCATGGAACTCAGGAGCAGTGTAGAAGCAACAGTCGCAGCATTGGGGCCATGCAGCAT